TGCATCGTTAATGACTTGAAAAAAACCGGAAATGTTTAGCGCCTTCATCCCCTCTATTCATTCATTTATTCATTCGCTCATTAAGCTCTTCCTCTTCACATCTGTACCTGTTATAAATAAATCCATTCGTCACTTCAACCAAGTGCATTGGTTAAAGCCGAAGTGTGAAATCTCTGTGCCACTAGTGGCAAATAAATGGAATTGCAATAACAATGGGTATATTCCCATCAGCCTTTGTAGTGCCCTGCCAGGAGGACTTCACAGGGTGTTCACTCCAAGTGAACATCAATTCATCCCTTCACAGAAAGTGGAGAGTTTGACTAAAATAAATGCAGAGGAATTAATGTGTTTAATTAGTCCCAGTTTGCATGCAGTAATTCGAAGATGTAAAGGATGCAAACATTTTTTTATGCAACTATCACGGTTATGGGTTCCATAAGGTAATACATAAGGTCTACATAATCGACAGTTTGTAGAGAATACAAACTGAAAAGTCAGTAAAGTGAATACATTTTAAATAAATGTTTAATGAATGAATAAATGTCGTTCTTTTGAACTGTATATTCGTCAAAGATTCTATAAAATGTTTATTTCCATAAAAATGTATAACAGCACAACTGTTTTTAATTGTGATAATAATAGGAAATGTTTCTTGAGCACCAAAAAAGCATTTTTAGAATGATTTCGGGAGGATCATGTGACACTGAAGACTGCTGAAAAATTCAGCTTTGCCATCATAGAAATATACTAAAATAGAAAACAATAATTGTATTATTTAATATTCACAGTATTACTGTTTTACTGTATTTTTGATCAGATATATGCAGCACTGGTGCACATAAGTATGGAAGCTTGTTTCCGCCACTGAATAAAAAAATATAATAAATAATTGTGACTTTTTATCTCACAATTCTGACTTTTTTTTCTCACAATTCTGACTTTTTTTTCTCACAATTGCGAGTTTATATCTCACAATTCTGACTTTATTTCTCAGAATTGCGTGATATAAAGTCGCAATTGCGAGTTATAAAGTCAGAATTGTGTGTTATAAAGTCAGAATTGCGAGATATAAAGTCAGAATTGTGTGATATAAAGTCGCAATTCTGAGAAAAAGTGTGACTTTTTTTCTCACAATTGCGAGTTTACATCTCGCAATTCTGACTTTATAACACATAATTGCGAGTTTATATGTCGAAATTCTGACATCTTTTCTCAGAATTGTGAGATATAAACTCGCAATTGCGACTTATTAGGCCAATTCTAAGGGGAAAAAAAGACTAACTTTTTTCCCCCTCAGAATAGTTTAAATCTCACAATTCTGACTTTATATCATGCATTTCTGACTTTATAACACGCAATTGCGACTTTATATCTAGCAATTCTGACTTTATAACTCGCAATTCTGACTTCATATCTCGCAATTCTGACTTCATATCACGCAATTCTGACTTTATATCTCGCACTTGCGACTTTATATCACGCAATTCTGACTTTATATCTCACAATTCTGACTTTCCATCTCGCAATTCTGAGAAATAATGTCAGAATTGCAAGAAGTAAACTCACAATTGTGAGAAAAAAAGTCGCAATTACCTTTTATATTTTTCATTCAATGGCGGAAACAAGCTTCCATACATAAGAGACTTATTTCAAAAACATTAAAAAGATTTTTGAATGGAACTAAATCAGGATTTACTTTCTGACTACATTAATGAAAAAATAATTAAAATGTCTCGTTTCAAACAGCTTTCAAACTCCCCGTCTGCCATTGGTCAGCCAAACAGCCTCACCCTAAACTCATGTCACAGGTCGGGCTGATCGGAATGTTCAAACAACCTACAAATATTTGACTCTGTATATTAAACTGGCTTATGAAAAACTAGGCCTTTAACCTAAAAACTTAACCTTGAACTTCCAAGTTGTTCACCTTGCCAAAGAATGCCAAGTTTTATTGCGTTCGATTTATTTGAAGGTAAGATCACGTCCCTTGGTCTGTGAATAAGCGCTGGTCCACACAACTGAGAAAACATCCAGTTATTATTTAATTTTGAAATAACTCCCACTTCCCTCTCATTTAAAGCATCTCGCCGTCTAATATTAAACCTATACCCATAAGGCTAAAGTTTCTATAAATACACGAGCGCTCCCTGATGTGGAAAACAAAGGCGATGAATCATAGCTCATGTCTGTAATCTTGATTACATAAAACTCAATCGCTCTGCGACACGAGGCCACTGGTGATTTTAAGCGTGTTGGCCAAGTTGTCAGTGGCAGTCTAGCCAAGCACTAATTAATCCTAATGCTACAGTTTGAATGACTCACATCCAACAGCCTGTTTAAGCAGTCTCATTGATTAACAATAAGATGTACTCTCATTCACTCATTTTGTTAAACAAGGTGAAAATATTCCTGTCAAACTGATTAGTTAATGCACAGTAATCACACGTGAAATTAAAGCTGCAGTGTGTACTTTCAGCCCTACGGTGAGACCAAACAAATATGCAAAATTAGTGATGGTTTTCAAATAAACATTACACTCCCTGCATCTGCCATTATTCTAAAAAAAAACGGTCAATTTATCAGTCTTACCTGAAAAAACGATGTAAAATCATTCGGAAGACTTTTAGAACAAGATATTTCCCCCAATTGCTTGGTTTCAATAAAATAAAAAGCCTTTTTGAACTCCACTTAAGTGTTAATTTCCATAGTACATTGAACTCTGATCTCAAAAGGCAAAGCACATTTTGATTCCTCATCACCTGAATGTCATATTCTAGACATCAACATCTGTGTTCAGCCAAAAAGAAAGTCTCCAGCAGAACAACTCGGACTTAAAATATGTTGTTTTGTGCTGTCATCTTCTGGTACAATAGAGTAATTGCAGCAAAAATAAAATTCTTAACCTGTGTTTCACAGACAAGGCTTAAACCAAGTCACAGACTAAATGCATGTTTGAGCTGTTTCCACTGAAAGCAACTTGCACTTACTGATCTCAAAATACATCATTGCCATAGTTTTGTCAAGGCACGGTTTCACAGATAGGGCTTAGATTAAGTCAGGATTAGGCCTTAGTTCAATTAGGATATTTAAGTAGCTTTTATAAACTTGCCTTTGAAAAAGAAAAACATTACTGGTGTGTTCTTCTTGAGACCAAACAATGGCAGTGGCATATTTTAAGATATGTCAGTGCAAGTTGCTTTCCATTGAAACAGCTAGGCTTAAACCTTGTCTGTGAAACCTGGGACAAATGTATTGGATGCAAAAGGTGATAGATAATGTATAAACATTCATGTTTCAAATGTTTTCATTTATATTTAAAAAGCATTTAAATTGAAAACAAGTGTCAAAATCTATCTATCTATCTATACTCCCACCCTAAAACCCACAGTGACAAAGTTCGAGCAAACAACTACAGTTAGCAGACTGTTGCTGAGAAGGGCTTTCCGTTGTTTAGATGGCTGATCTATATTTGAGGCTTCAAAAACAATCCCGCTGTTTAGAAGTGATAGTGCTAACAGGAAAGATAAATATTTAATCAATAGCATCTGAGATGGAGTTGACCTAAAGGGAATTGGGAACATCAACCATAGGGCTACAAAAAAAGAAGAAAAAAAAAGAAAAAAAAGGTGGTGAAAAGGGGAAGAATAAAGCTCTTACCTGCAGTTATAATCTGCACTGTCCATGGACGTTTGGCTATCAGCAGCTGATAAGATCTCCAAAGACCCGCCATGGGACAAAGTCTAAGAACAACGCAAGACCACTGAAATTACTACAGAGAAAACTGTTGCAGAAATAGAAAAAAATGCTGTCAATTTAAAGCTATATTAAAATATTTTTGGCCAGATATAATATCAACGTGAAGTCATGAAAAATATTATATATATATATATATATCTTTGTAAATTTATATAAAACTATATATCATAAAACAACTACTTTGGCCCTTGAGAGGTCAACTTTCCTGCAGAGTTTATCTCCAACCTCTAACGCTCATTCATTTGGAAATTGGACTACAATATCGCGTTGTACATTTTTGATTCATTAAAAGGTATCGGCTCATTATAGTTATTTATTCGGACTAGACATTATCGATGTAAATGTAGTGCTGGGCTGCTGGCTTTGCTGTGCCACTGAAAGTCCCGTTGCACTCATACAGTGATGAATGACGAGCTCTCTGGCTAATCAAAGGCGCGTGCCAAAAAGCATGACATATTTCCAAACTTCAAAACCAAACGATAATTTATGGTTTACTCAGTCGGATAAGGGTAAATCTTTTTCTTTCTTTAGTGACACATAAAACTAATGTGCCATCCGTTGTACGCGTGCGCGCGCACATACACCATCACGTAACCAATCTTTCGTATTCAACACGACTCCAGCACAGAAAGTTTTGACCGGTCCTGTGCGTTTATGTTATAAATTTATTCCTACCTTGTCACGTAAACAGAAGTCGTACAATGAGTGTCGGAGATGTCGGCGTTGCTGAAATTAAAAGCGGTTATATGACTGCAGCTTTTAAAGATTGAATCAAAAGAGGACGGAAAGTGACTTCAGGTCTGAAGATATGGCTGCAGTTTAAAAACACACGCTGAATTAATTCAGTCTTGTGTCAGGACAACTTGATAAGTGGTTGACAATTCATTTGACATCATGGTCAACAATTTAGCGTGATGCTTGAGCGTGCAGCCCGTGTGAAGTAAGCTAAAGGTTCAAACTAGATGAGCAACGAGATGTTTCAAAATAAAAGTCCAGTAACCATTGAAATAGAAATGGTTTTGTGTGGAGTTTTACAACACGTAGGTTTAAAAGTCTTAAATTAGAAAAAAAAAAACTAAAAATAATGATGTACAGCAAAGAGCTTACATTTTATTTTGAAAAATAAAGAGCTACTACCAATAAATACGGTTTATGGACAGGGCACACACGTCATTTGTCATGCACATATTAAATACATTTATTGTATTTTTTATTATTAAAGAAAAAAAAAGAGCAATAGGTGGCACAATATATTTTATTGCGCTTTTTATATAGACACAAAAAAGCAATGGAGGTCAGTTTGAAGCATGTAAACAGAAAAACTAGGGTATTCTTACAAGTACAACAAAATCAGTAAGTACAGTACACATCTCTGGAGAGAGTAAAGGGGGAAATGTATATTTTTTCCCTTATAACAATGTTGCCAATGTAGTGAAGTCTGAAATTCATTAATGATATTTGGTTATGCTTTATTTAAAAGAACAACACATAACCAAGCCATAAAATTGCTGTATACAAAACCAAAAGGCAGTTCCAATTAAGCGACAAACGCAACAAAAAATAAGATATTACATAGAGGGTCCTGAGACAAAGATGTCAATTTCAAGTACATTTTGTCAAGTGGGACCAAGTAGACAAATTCATTTTTCATTAAATTAAATTTAAATAATGTGCTACACTCACCAATGGGTATAAGTGTGACAAATTTACCATAAGTGCATCAGAGGCTGCTGTATGTGCATATTGGCAGTATTACTATAATCAGGCTTAAAAAAAAAAAAAACATGTAACAGTGAAACATCAGAAGCACATGTTTTGCTCTCTCTTGGTTTAATTGTTGCTAAAGATACCTCCAACATGTTCTCCAATAATTCTGACTCAACTTTTGAAATTGCTAAGCAATCAGTCACTGCCTCTTATCAATCAGGCATGACAAGTAAACTGAAGAAAAATAAATATACATCATCTACATTAAAATTCAAGTACATAACAGAAAATGGCAGCAACAAACTATAACCCTGATTTTGTTCCCCTCTGTGACACTGTGGTGCTAAATACTAAAATCAAAGATGAGATGGAAATGACTCCTTTGGAGTTTTTTTTTTTTTTTTTAAATATATTTCATTAATATCCAACATTTTTACATCCACACAAACACTACCAAGTAGACTGATATATTGATTGGCATTTGGCACTTCACATCTATATCAGCCTTCAAGACACCAATCAATTGGAAAAAAATCTAAAGCAACAAAGTAGATTAAACAATAAACGTATTGTTTATGATTAGAATTGCAGCATTGTAGTAAACAATGATCTCCGAACCAAATCTTTACAATTTCTACTTTGTCCATGGGCTACTATTCGAGGTAGTAAAATTTCTGCAGTTTTACCAAAGCTCCTATATTAAAGGCAGATTAAATTAAAGCTGAAAAAATGCGGGCATATGAACATCTATTTCACTTAAGATATGATGATTTGGTCAAGCACTTCAATGCACATGTATGCCATATATACATACAAATGAAAGGTAAGACAACATGAAAACAGCGAACAAATATTGGTGTGTACGTGCTGCATTTGTAATCAATTATACATACTATGTTCTACTGCTCATACTATTGAAAAATAGCCCAAGTAGTTTGGTAGTATGCCATTTCAAACAAACTGTGTTGTGTCCTTATTTCAGGAAGTAATAACAATCTGCAAATTGTGATGGTCATGTGATGGTCATGAGGTAAGCCAATGAGCAGTAATCTCCCATGTTTTGGGTCCCGTTGATGCTTTGCCCTGTATTGAGCATGGGCACACGTGTAGCATATAGTATTGCAAGAACCAGTAGCAAAAGATGGCTAAGGCTTATGCTAAAATAGGGCAGGGCATTGGGTCCACAATCTTATGAGATAAGTGCTTAAAATGTTCCCTTCTCCAATGCATACAGACAGAGTTGCTCACATACACGTGTCGAAATTCAGTAGTCCATCCCATCATCGCTTTCATACCAGTCTGAAGGAGCATCAGTCCCAAAGTAACGGTCCCCAAAATTACCTGTAAAAACAATTGCTTTGGGTTACAAGATACTGAATGATCAATTTTCCCCTTTGTTTTTGCCAATCAAAGAGCTCTTACCAATCCCTGGAATTATGTGGAACTCATCATTAACATTCTTGTCCACGGCAGTGGTGATGATGCGCACCTTGGGAAAGGCGTAGGCCACTGAGTGGACCCCCATCTCCGCCATGAGCAGAGAGAGCAGGAAGATCTTATGCTCCTGGACATCATGATCCTGTAACAGATGAGTTTGCAAATCACTCTTATTTAAACCAGTTACTGTGCTAATGTAGATTTCAAGGTCTGTAAAAGTAATAATAATAATAATAATATTATATCTCTCAGCTAGTATGGTGTATTTTATGCATATTTATTTATTTATTTTATTTTTTTAACCGCAGAACAGATTTTTCCTAAAATATTTCAGCAAGAATTTCAATATTTTTATTTAATATTTTGGAATATTTCAATAATATCTTATATCTCTGACCTAGAATAGTGTATTAGTGTCTGTTATGCGATATATAGAACAGATTATAGAACACACACACACACACACACACATATATATATATATACACACATTTACACACACACACATATATATATATATATATATATATATATATATATATATATATTTACACACATGTGTATATATGTATATATACGCATGCATAAAATCAAATTTGGCTAAATACCTGGTGCATCATATCTATATATCCATCCATTTACCAACCAATATATCTTTTATAAATGTGAAACATATTCCAAAGTACCCAAGTTGATAACAGAAGTATTGAATAAAGGCCAGACGGACCTTTTTAAACACCCATGTGAACTTTGTACCCACAAAATGTAGAAATTTGACCAGGATTGTTTGTTTTGTATGCAAGAGAGAGGTCAAAGATCATTCAGAAAAGTATGTGGGGCATCCATTGAAACAGATCAGTCCGAACACATCAAAAATCAGTTTTAGGATTAACATCACTTATCACAACATTCAGCATAGTGAGATGTTGACATTTATCTTGCACATCTTAAAAGTTAGGCTTAAAATGGCATAAACCGGGTGTCAAGACATAAATTACTCTACAATGCACTGAAAATGTTATAAAAAAAGAAAAACCCATCAATGGATGTACTATATAGATGGGAAATAAAAATGCACTATGACCTTTGTGTCTGCGAAAGTGACTTACAAGTAAGACTCTGACAGCCATTAGAGCTGCCGCCCCTGTTGACACGGTGCTGTCCATCAGGATGACATAGTCCTCACTGAGGTCCTTGGGCAGACGCAGGTAATGGAGCTGCAGAGGAGATTAGACCGTAATAAGACAGAGCAGAGATTTATGTGCCATTAGGTAGTACACTAAATATGCAAAACAGATGGAGACGTCAAGGAATTTGAGCGTGTTTCTAAATTTAAAAAAGGTCATCAGATGAACTTGAAGTTCAAAGAAATGCAAATGAGATGCTACAGATTTGAAGATGATTTGGATAGCTAAAAAGTTACAAAAGAAATATTTTTAAGCCCTTTTGCCACATGTAAATGTTGATTATGTGTATTAATATTTATCAGTAAAAATCGTAAAATAAGGCAATTTTTCCAAATAAGTTGTCACTAAATGAGCATAAGAATTATACAATCATTTTAAGTTATATTGATATTTATATTCTCTAATATAACATAGCCATTTCTTGTAACAACATTAGAATGTTATTTGAGGGACATTTGAGGAAAAATTGAGTGATGGTGGGAACTCATTTTTTTGGATTCAGGTCTGAATCAGTTAAATGAAAAGGACAATTTGAACGGATTCCTGTGAATGAAATGAACCAAACCTACCAACTCTCACTTCATTATTGGCCAAACAAAAAGCGCATTCAAAATCAATGATATTCTAAATGTAGGTATTTGGTGGTGATATAAAATTACTCAGGAATAGCCTACATATAAATGTAAAATCATAAGCATTGTTATTAACAAAACTCTTTTTCGTTAATTGAAATAAAGCTGAAGTAAAAAAAAAAAAAAAGATATATATATTACATTAAAAACTTAAACTTTTATGTCAGTTATACAACATTTAAAATTTCCATTTATGTTTTAAGTACTAAAATAAAAAAACACAAAAAAAGCTAAATAGAAATACTTTTTTTACAAAAAATAAAAAAAAATAAAAAAAAAATCACATTAAAATTACTAAAATTAAAACTAAAATTAAAAAAATAAAATATTGATAAGCTAATCCAAAATAAGAATAAATACCATAATAGTTTATAAATTATGCAAAAATAACAGTATTAAGTAGTGTACCAAATGAAAGTACAGCTAGAGGGAGCTGTACGTCATACATTTACAAAACAATCCATCAGCGTCAGCACAGTTGTTGAGTTTATCATGTAGATCATGATACGTGTTATACATCAGGTTGAATACAAGGCAGAGATATCAAATCTGACAAACCACAGAAGTGCAACAGACCGTGACCTGAACAGTAGGGTATGAGTCACTCACACCAAGGCTGAGAACACAAGGGCACAATATAACACAGCTTGATCACAGCTTGTTTATAGACATGCGTGTCAGTTGGATGGGTGAAGACGCGATACCTCAGGCTCTCCTGTGTCGTGATTGGTCTGGATGAGGATCTTTCCGAGTCGAATGTCCTTACAAACAGCCATCAAGGCCTGTTCCATGGTCTCTCCTGCCCGTAGAATGGACACACCAGTGATCTATCAAACAAATAAACAAGAACGAACACAGGTATAAAATCCTGACATACAGATAATAGCAATACCAACTAAGACATCCTAACTAATTTGATCATTATTTTAGTTGTTCTTTTTATTCAATTTATCTTAGTTTTATTAAAGTTCAGTTAATATTTGACTAAGCTTTTTATTTTATATTTTGTTATGAAAATTTTAGTTAATTTTTTAGATATTTCCTTGTGATTTTGTGTTTTTTCTACTTAGGCTTAATTTATTTTTATTTCAGTTTTTCAGTGTTTTTTTTTTAGTTAATAATTTTAGTGCTTCAACTTAAAATTAGAAATGTTGCAATAAACTGAAATAATTTTAACTAATATTAATAATTTGTTACAGCTTTTTTTCAATCAACCGTTAAGTTTTTCATAGCTTTAGTTTTAGGGTGTTCTCACACTTTGGCTTTTTTGGTCCAAATCAAAAAAAGAAATCAATACATTTAGTCTTGATTCGCTTAGGTTCATTGTTAAAAATTACAGTTTGAAAGCTAAAGATACACACACACAAAAAACAGCTTTTATGAAGTATATTTTTGCGACGGAACATCCACACCAATGCTGTGTGCTGGGCTAAAACTGCAAGCTTTATGTGCATAACGTTACAAATTCTGGTGTTGACAACTCGTGAAGAAATTATAAAATGTGTAAATGAGTCAAAACTGGGCCGGAAACCCTCCGTCACACACAAACGAAGATCTGCTGCGAGGAGATGCGGTTCGGATGCCGGTACCAAACTGTGATGGACAACATTGTGACTATGACAGGGAAAAGAAAACAGGTATGCTTGAGCATTCTGTTATTTTTAGGGTTGCATCGTGTGACATCATGTCCTGTTTTTGGTTCGTCTTCTTTGGTCAATGTTCCGTTCATATTTCAGTTGAACTGCTCCAGAGTTCACATTTATTTAAATGAACTGCACTAACCGAGCAATCGCACCAGGGTTCGTTTTAATCAAACCAAACATGCCAAGTATGAACACACCATTAGTTAACAATAATAACCCTGATTATTTTCAAACTGCTTTTTTTCCAGCAAAGCATGTACACATTTTAAACTTCAAATAAACAAACCCTTTTCCCGCTCAGCCTCTTCCCTTCATATACAGTTCCTTGAGGAGTTTCAACAGACACCGGCTAGAGAGAAGAGGAAATATGAATCAGTGATGGAACTAACTAGTGCAATAATCATCAATGAAGACCTGCTTCACTTCACACCATAAAAATTGTATTTGTCCGTGGGGGCGCCGCTAGCAACGCCTATGCATCACTGTATTATGACCAATATCCAGAGCTCGCAACATCGGGTTTAAAAGTTAGTCATTAATAATGACGGTCCACTCACCTTCAGCGGCAGGAAGGACAGGGCGTGCTCTATGAGAAGCCTCATTAATCTCTTTGAATAGAAAATAAATTCATCCCGACTGGTTTCTTTATTCCTGGGGGCACAGGGGACACAGTCAATAATACACAACAGAGATGATGTGCGCTTTGGAGGAGAGTTTGATACTGGAAACATGAAACACAGGTCTGAGAGTTTAGATAAAGTGAGAAAACAGTGGACGTTTACTTCCAAGCATTCAGTGCGAGACGCCCATAAAACCCAGCGTTTTTGAGCTAGGCTCAAAACTAGGGTAGAAAATAGCCTATTACTTATATTTATTTTGATGTTTTTGAATGTAAAAACCAAGTGAACGTCATTAGTTGACCTCAGACAACAATATAATAAAATTTAGCCCCTTTAATATCCGAGCTGTGAGCTATCTGATGAGATGTGAACCATGAAGTAATGCCAACAAGTCTTTCTATTATTATGCAGGCTTTGTTAGGTGCATGCAAAAACAAACATGCAACAACTAGCGCAGTATGGTTCACAAACAAATGATTCGATAACACTTTACAATAAGGTTCATTAGTTAACATTAGTTAACTACATTAGTTAACATGTACAATATTTGAACAATACTTCTTCAGCATTTATTAATCTTAGTTAATATATTAATTCCAACATTTACTAATACGTTATTAAAATCAAAGGTTTTATTAGTTAACATTAGTTAATGGACTGTGAATTAACATGAACGTACAATGAACAGCTGTATTTGTATTAACTAACATTAACAAAGATTAATAAACACTGTAACTAATGCATTGCTCATCGTTAGTTCATGTTAGTTAAAGCATTTACTAATGTTACCTAATGAACCTTATTGTAAAGTGTTACCAATGATTCTTGTGAGCCAGTTCTTTTAATGAATCATTCAAAAAAAGACTCAGTTTGAATCAGTCAGATGAATCCATCACTGAACGAACTAAATCACTCGTGGTTACTGAATCCACATCTGACACACTAAAAGCTGCAGTCCGTAACTTTTTTGTTCACACCTTTTAACAATTTAATATGTCCTTACAAAATAAAATTTAAAGTATTAATTTATTTTAAAAAAATGTACTGACCCAAACTTTTGAATGGTAGTGTAAATAAACAACATATCACAAAAAAAAATGTGTATAATAATATATTGTATAATGTATAAACCTAACCCTGTAGTGTTACATAAGTACTCGAGTATTCACCAGAACGTTGCAGTCGTACCTGATAATAGTGTGCATTCCTCTAACCTGTGGTGTGCTCTCCATGACGCTCAGAGTCTTGGGTAGAGGTTGACCCTGATGGGCAGATGCCAGGGCTGATCTATATGGTACATGGATATAAGATGTAAACACTCCCTTTTTCCACGGGTTGCAAACAAAAAGTAACATACAACACATTTTGTTAATGGAAAAGAGACAAATATAATAATATTTGACTTTTCCCCCCAGTGCAAATATGGTTTGAAAAGCAGGCCGGACGTGATATGGTAGCAGGTCAAGTCAGAGTTAAGGCTGATTCACTTCAAGTCACAATTTCCATTATGAATGTGTTTTTAAAATGAAACAAAAGCCTTATTTACACAAATTAAATCACCCTTACCCAAAAAAGAAACTTCCCAGATCATTAAGATATTAACTTGGGTTATGTGTTGGCTTAATATAGCTAGTAGTTTCAAGGTACAAGGAGCAGTGTGATAAGTATGTGCAGCATCATCTATGTAACTATCAGACTTGGTGTGAATAGGCCTTTAAATTAGAAGTAGGCAGAAGTGAGGGTATTGCAACCAAAGATCTGATGTACAAGCATTAAAGGAACAGTTCACCCAAAAACTACATTTACTCACTCTCATTTCTTTCCAAACACGTGACTAACTTTCTTCACAAAGGAGAAGATAGTCATACTTGAGGGAGAGTAAATGACAGTTTGGAGTATTTTAGGGTAAACTATGTTTTAAAACAGTGAAATAATGTGATATTAAATAAAACCAACAAGATGGTTTAGGGCTGAAACTATACTAAATCACTGCATTTAAAATTACAATATTGTAAATGTGGAAAAACTAAGCAAGGGCTGAGAGAGCCACCACTACAGCCTACAATAAGCGCATAAGAAATAAAATAATTAGCTAATATAATATATTTAACTGCTAAATTTCCTTCATTGTGGCTGCCAGTTCCACCAAACCTAGGCCAACAATCCCATAAAGAAAGACACCATGTCCTAACCAGGAGTGATTCGACATGTGTTCAGCGACAAAAACTTGTCTACACTGCTGATCAGTGTGATGCAATGATAACCAATCAGAAGTTTTGAGGAGCAGGATTTTGAACCAATGAGATTTCATTGTGGGTGTGGCAAAATGTCACAAAAATAGAAAAAAATAGACAGAATGTCCTGTCACTGTTAAAGACTGGTTAGGACACCGTCACACTGACAGAGTGTGAATAATATTTGCCCATTCTGAAAAGATGGAAGTTGAGTTAAACGTAAACAAGCAAGTTGAAAAAAAAAAAAAGTCAAACAATAATAGTAAAAATGCTGATTGTTATTAAACGAGCAGAAGGGATGCAGAGGATGGATAAAAAAAAAAATAAAAAATAAAATGAAGGAAACAGAAAAAAGAAAAGACGAGAGGATGCAAGAATTTATCCTCACATATCCCAGCGGAGTTTCCTCTGAAGGAGGGAATAAATGATCATTGGGAGACAATGGTGACGAGATAGAGACCGAGAAAAGAGAGGGGGACAAAAGAACAAGACTTGATTAAAGTCTATACAGAACAGATGGGACAGGTCACAGCCAAGATGAGCTCAGGTCTGGGCAGTATGTCAGTGGTTTTCTGGCTGGCCTGAATAAAGTGATAAAAGGACAGCAGACGTCTCAATAGAGACAATGTATTGATGGGATTTTCAAGCTGCACAGTCCCTAAAGAGAAAAACCACTGAAATAGGCCAATCCCCGTGTTAGCAACAGCATCAAAGTAGAGACAAAAGGTACACAGTCAAGCTATGGTGTGTTTTTGCTCGCATTTTCTTGTCTTCACATTCAGGTCCTTAAACAGTCTCCACTTTTTGTTATCAGGAAGGATGCATGAAATTGTTCAAAAGTGACAGACTTTTTATATTTAATTAAAAAATCCTGAAAAATACATCACAAAAATTATGATGCAGCCCAGTTGTTGTATTTTTTAACATAGATAATAATACGAACTGTTCTTGGGCACCAAATCAGCCTATTAGAATGATTTTATGAAGGATCATGTGACACTGAAGACTGGAGTAACTCAGTTTTGCCATAGACAAAACTTATTTTAAAATTTTAAATTGTAATTTTATTTCACTTAACTGTATTTTTGATCAAATAAATGTAGCCCTGGCAAGCAAAAGAGTACTTTTAAAAACATTAAAAAAAAACTAAAAAAAAAACAGCCACAATTTTTTGAAATGTTATGTATTATTAGCTGTTTGAATTGGAACAGCCAAGACTTTAGACCAATGAGATTACAATGTGGACGGGGTTGTACATCTCTTTATACGGCGGCCTCGACAACACTCGACATTTAATTTGTTTAGCGTAGTCGTGCGTTTACAACACCATAGCCAGAGCTAGCCTTTTCCTTTTGTCTCTATTTGCATCTCTGCAGTTTTGAGAAAAAAAAAAAAGAAAAGACAGATGAAGCACAAGTTTAAATAATGAAGAAAAGATAAATGGAAGGGAATGAGGGGTAAAGCAGCCATACCTCACTGTGATTTCACGCTGGGATGGTTAGAGCAATCAGTTGAGGTTTTTAGCAAGTATTTCATTACAAACACACACAAGGAGGAGAAGAATAAAAAAAAAAAAGACAAACTCATGAAATGAAATATTCACTCATTAAAAGCCATTCCAAACAGTCAGCCCCTCACCCTCTCCATGGTATACTGGAAAATATTTCATGGCAATGTCAGCTATTCTCGAACCCTACATTTAACCTGATATAGATCACATTCTTACATTTATGTTTCTCATATTTACATCACTGCAAATTAAATCTCTCAGGCGGATTTAATATTCCATATACCACATATAAAGACACTACATTTTCCATAGCTTTGAGGTAAAAAAAAAAAATCTTTGCAAAGGGCGAGTCTTTAAATAAAAAAAGGAACTTTTCTGTTTCCTACAGTGGATTTAAAGAAATATTTTTTAAGAGTCTGCTCTTTTACCTAGACTTTTTTAGCCTATACACTTACCCTCAGTAATAAATCTAATTTAAAAGTAAAAATTTAAATAAGGGAAATTTTATTTTGCATAAATAAATAAAATATTATTTAACAAACCTTTAACAAATAATTTAATATATTACAAGTAAAATGTATGAAAAAAATAATACATTTTACAATTGAGTAGACTAGATAGATAGATCTTTTCTCTCAAAGTAAAAGCCATCATGCACAATATTACAAACCCTCACCATCAAGTTATACCAAAATAACGCAGACCTCAAATCTGACCTCTTTTGGATGCTAAACACAATGCGCCACTGTGGCTTTAGAGCATGATATCTTTTGTACAAAAGCACATGGTTTATTAGTCTTAAAGATCATTCCTCGCTGTGACTGATAGAGTGAAGAAGAGAAAAACATTTTCCACCTCAGGATAATTCATGACTTTATTCAGCCTGTCAGACAAGAAAAGGATTACATTTCAAAGAGGCTCTAAACCCATTTTGTAGAATACATCTGTCATCAATACATGCACATGAAGATCACTCACCAAACGTTCATTAGTGTTAACGTCTTTGTCTTGCTAATAATTACCTAGGTAGACACCTTTAGTAATCATGAAATCAAAATTGATTTTACATTTGCTTTCCTAATGCACGTCTCCTGGTTTCGCAGAATTCACAAATCAGGCCAGGCTTTATACTAGAACAAAATGTCTACTTTGGAAAACAATAAGGTCATCATTTCAACCTTCCTTCGTTTTAATGTGTTAGAAATGATCATACAGAATTTTACAGGTTGCAAATGAAATTACGATGTTACGTTGATAATAATTGGAAGAATAAAACCCTACTCTATATGGTCCTAAACTATGAGAAATGATTCTAGATGTCCAGAAAACAAATTAAAGGGGACTATAAAGGGGAAGACGGACTGTAAAATGAAGATCTAGATTACTGGCCTGACCTTTTCTTGTTTTAACCAATGCACACACTATTTAAAACTGGTACAGTATGGCCACCAGAGGGCAAACTATACTTATACCATGAGCACATTATACTTATACCATGGCATGGGATTCATATGCACATGCATGCAACATTTGAGTGTGTATTAGGAGCACGTGGACCATCTAGCAGGGATAACAACATGCATGTTGACCACTCAACACTTTAATATGCACAGACCAATAACCATTCTCACTCAATGTTGAACAGAAGAGAATAAGGAGACGTTTTTATTACGTACCTTTTCCAGTTGACTGTGAACGTGCTGAACAATAAGATCCAACGCTACAAAGTTTTCTCCACCTGGGGCAACAATGGAAAGGGGCAAACTTTTTTAATGTATATCATAACTCAAATAATGAATTCAAATGCATGTTATACTTCAATTAAGTAGGAATATTTTAGTTATTTTATACATTTAATTATTTAATTGCCATACCATCATCAAAAGCTATATTCATGGCATATATACACACACACAAACCAAAATTTATTCAGACACATTCAACATTTGCGTTATCAAATCAGTTGATATTTCACTGGCCATCCTTCTGTTACTGACTCACAAATTAATTAGGGTGCACAGCTGTCAGCTGCACCCACTAGTAAAAAAAAAAATATATATATATATATATATATATATATATATCAAAAATCAGTGTTTCCTAGGATTTTTTAGGGGGGGGCATTTTTCATTGCATAAAAAATATATTATTTTTTAGCAAACAAAAAGCATGTCTAATTAATTGAAATCATGTATTATGAACATTTAAGAAAAAAAAAAAAAATATATATATATATATGAAAAAAAATCCACACTAATTCTGTTTTGTGATTTTGCTGGTAATCAAATGAAACATAAAACACAAATTGTATCATTTATCATAAACTTTTTGTAAAATAACATGCTGCACAATGAGCTTTACTGTTAAAATTAAAACATGAATTATTCCTTAAATTCAGTTTTGTTTAAAAAATTCACAATTTATAAAAATGATTAATTCTAAAAACACACCCCACTAAAACAATTATAGGGGAAACATTGAAAAATGATATCTGGTGTCTGAATAATTTATGGTTTGCCTTCTTATAACACCACAATTACAACTATATAAGGTTTTTCAAAATATTTATAAGATCATTATAAATTCAAAAAAATATATATATTAATTACATTTCTGAATTAAAAAAAAAGCCAAGTAACATTTTACTAAAATATGCTTAAAATAGTCAATACTGGTGGGCGTTTTGCAGTTTTGACAATTTCCAAATTCACCTACCCCTTGGGACCACAATATCTGCAACCTGCACAGTGGGTTCGATGTACTGTTCAAACGCTGGCTTGACAAATTTGTTGTACTGTTTAATGACGCCTGCAATATCACGCCCTCGATCCGTGATGTCCCTTTTCAGACGCCTGACCAGCCGGATATCAGAGTCAGTGTCTACAAACACCTTCATGTCTAGCAGCTGAGGGGCACATAGAGACAGAAATACAAAACAAAAATGTCAAAAACTGACAAAATGTGAGATAGACAAACAGTTAAGACTAAAATACCTCAACAGGCCACAGCTATGTTTTCTGATGCACTTTTAAGGGTTTAATGCATGTGGTTGAGACTCAGGCATTCAACAGTAGTGGAATATATACACAATTTAGAAAAAAAGAAAAAAATATATTTACATTAAAGTATATAAATATTCGAAATATTCCAAAGGAGGCTTCTTGAGACTCCTTTGGAAGAAGACGCTGACGTGCAGACGTTAACTACTGATGGGGTGTGTGTTGGGCCGAGTCCAGGACAGGTCATCAGAGGTGCACGCCAAGAAACTTGATGCTCCTGACTCTTTCCACAGCAGTACCGTCAATGTGTAGGGGGACGTGACTGTTCACTTTCATCCTCCAAATGTCCACGATCATCTCTTTGGTTTTGGAATGGATCGGGATGACTGGAGAACCCTTGTTCGTGGCCTATGCCCAAAGTTGGGTGGTAGGCGTAAGTAAGTAAGCAAGTAATCTCTTTGGTTTTGCTGATATTGAGGCAGAGATTACAGAAATAAAACATAACTGGACCTTGGAGCATTGGAAGAAGGTCGCCTGGCCCCATTAGTCCCGTTTTCTTTTACATCACGTGAATGGCCATGTTTGTGCGCCCTGTTTAGTGATGGCACCAGAATGCACAGGGAGACATTGATAAGCAGGTGGAGCGAGTGTGATGCACTGGTCAATGTCCTGCTGGGAAACGCTGGGTCTGGACATTTATATGGATGTAAAGTTGACACGTGACCAACCTAGACATTATTGCAGACCAGGTTTACCCCTGCAATGGTGTTCCCTGGTGGAAGATCCTTTTCAGCAGGATAATTCACCCTGACACACATTGTTCAGGAATGGTTGAGGAACATGATGAAGAGTTCAAGGTGTTGCCCTGGCCTCCAAATTCTCCAGATCTCAATCCAACAGTGTCTGTAGGATGTGCTGGAGCAAAAAGTTTGATCAACAGCGGCTTCACCTCAGAAAAGATTTGAAGAACACCAGAGGAGAACTGGCCCCCGACTGAGCCTGGGTTCTCCCAATATTTTTTTTTTCTTCATTGTGTCACCTGATGGAGTTTTAGGACACCTTTAGGTCACTTGATGCTTGCTCTTGGCTTCCTCAGTTGGGGATATTCAAATTAATTAACCAATCAGTACCCTTGATCAGCTCTACCAAGCGTGGATGTTTTTCCACTAAGAAACGAACATTGTTATGTTTTGATTGATACTGTGAAGCTACTTTGATGCAATCTACAGGGGTTGGACAATGAAACTGAAACACCTGGTTTTACAACACAATAATTTGTTAGTATGGTGAGGGCCTCATTTTGCATCCAAATACAGCACCAATTCATCTTGGGAATGACAGATAGAAGTCCTTCACAGTGACCAGAGGGATTATGAGCTGTTCCTCTTCCAGAACAGTGTCCAGGTCACTATATGATGCTGGTGGACTTGCTCCTCCAAAACACCTCAATAATATTTAGATGTGGTGACTGTGCAGACCATGGGAGATGTTCAACGTCACTTTCATCTTCATCAAACCCTTCGGTCACAAGTCTTGCTGTGTGTGTTGGTGCATGATCATGCTGATACACGGTTTGAGCATCAGGTGCTCATGATCCTCCAGAAGGGTTTGGTAGTCCTCGGCAGTGTCGTGTCCATCAAATACAATCAGGATTGTCATGATATTGGAGCTCAAACCATCACTGATCCACCCGTGCTTCACTCTGAAGATTGGCCGCCAGGCATATAGATGTGAAACCTCCAACATTGGCCAGTGTTTCAGTTTCATTGTCCAACCCCTGTATATTGTGAAAAGTGCTATATAAATACACTTGACTTGAAGAACGCCTTTTTGCCAGATACATCATGACAACTTCAGGGGTCTTGTAGAGTCCATGCCTCGACGGGTCGGCACTTTTTTGGCAGCACACGGAGGACAATTGGCATATTAGGCAGGTGGTCATAATGTTTTGACTCATAAGGTAAAACCTTACTTTCCTCCAGTCCAAAGTGACGAAATTTTGCAAGGCAGGCACAATCTGTCCAGGACCTACTACTGTCTCTCCTCGACGGTTCTTGTTTCTGAAAACACGAATATGATCTTTAAATGGAGCAAAGTGATAGGATGTTTTAAAAAGCGGCTCAGCAAAGTAGAAGTCAGGATCAATCAAAGCATTAGTGCAGCGTGACGGCAACTAGCCAAGACACACCGCTGGTGCTGACACTGAAAATAAATATCATTGAGTGAGCCGGCAAAGCATTCAATTTCAGGCTAACGATAAACAATCCAACAATCCTAAACAGCAGCGCAAGCAGCCCTGCCAACACGGCGAAATATAACTTATGCTATTCTTGCATGCCTGCACACTGTCTTATAAGACTGGGGTAAAAGGTCGAGTGTATATCAACTTTTACAGGACAGGAAGTCATTGCTCATCCTTCCTGAACGAATATCTCTCAGATAAAATAATAAATGTGAGCTGTCACTGTATTCACAAAGACCTGCCATGAGAAAGAGTTGAACTGAAAACCCTGATCCATTCAAGCCAACAGATGCAAAAGTGTCTACCGTTTGTTGAGTTTCATTCATTCTGCGGCACGTCTGCTGCAAGGTGCTCATAAATCACATCAGGATGAACTGCTTTGCCAATGCGCACACAATAACTCCAATTTTAATTTGTATAGATTTCCGGAAACTTTGCACAGGGAAGAATCGAAACCCGGCAATGGGAACGGTCAACGCTGGTGTAAATAAACGCCGCCTATTCACTTCCTGTAGCCAGTCCTTACCTTCATCATTAAAGAGAAAAGAATCAGTCATCTTCATTGAGTGAGGAAAGAATATAACACAAGGAGAGGAAAACGGACAAGCGAGGACAGTCCTTGTGCAGTTTTAATAGGAGCAGGCTTTAGAAACGTGATTTTATAAATCTATTCTTGAACCTGAGATGCAGTTTCTCCCCTAAATGATAGAGAGACAACTAGAACTCATTATCTAACCATTATTCATGTATATTCAGGGCTGCAAAGAGCCAGAGATGGTATTGCAGAGAGAGAATCTCATCTTCTGGGTAGGGTTGTGAAAATGAGGTCTATTACTCAAAGGCAGAGACATACCAGTCTGGGGGAAATTTTCGGGATCATTTCACCGCAAATTCAAAAAGAAATAAACACTTCCAAGACGGTCCTCGCACCTTGGTGATCATGCTCTAAAAATTAAGACATTATAATTTGCATAGCGATAATGAAGCCTGCTTTTAAGACCATAATGGGTTGTTTTTTTTTTGCATTGCAATATTATTTTCATTACCACAAGCACATTTTCATTACCATAATAAAAAAAATCAATAATTCTCATAAATGTTATACATTACAATTCAAAAGTTTAGAGTCAGTAGAGAAATGTATACTTTTATTTAGTAAGGAAGGAAGCATTAAATTGATTAAAAAAAATGACAGCAAAGACATGTTACAAACGATTTTCATACACATGTGTAAAACCATCATATCATATTTTAAATTGCCCTTTATAATTTAAATATTAATTTTATAAGGTTTTACATCGCATTATGGTAGGCTACTGTAGAATTTCTTAATAAAACGAAAAAATACATTTTGCAAGTTGAAAAAAAAAAAAAAAAAGAAGTTTGATGCCCATTTGACATCCATCACTAACCTTTGGGAATATATAATACATAATACTCCCTCTCGTCTCTTCACATCTACATCACACTATCATTACACATCTCTCTTTTCATTTGACCTTATCTTTTATTACACCACCATTTTCCCCTCTGCTTTATGACTCCCATGATGCTCTTCTATATATCAGGCTATGAAGCTTTCCGCAATTCTTCCCCTCTTTCACTAAAGTTCCTTTCTGATTTCACAAACCACACTTAAAGATTATAGCTGACACTTATATAATGTCCAGTGCGACAAGTTTAATATGAGGCTTACCTTTAAAAGCTCCTTGTTGGCAAAAGCCAAGATTCCCTCAAATATCACAACGTTGGCCCCATAGACGGTTTTCTGCACAAAGGATCATAAACAGAATATCAAATGACCAGTAATATATAACACGGATCAACTCTAAGGATTTTTTCTCCTGCCAAAATTAACTGACCCCACCAAAAAAATAAATATGAATGAATAAATAACTAAAGTTGACCCATGTAACATTGTATTCTAATAATAAGACTTAAAAAGCATGTGCAAATGATAAAGTTTTGCGACAATCCATCAACTGTCCCGAGCGTTTTTCATTGTGCAGTCCTTATTGTTGAGCCCTGGCATAATATAATAATGCATTGATAAAATCAATTATAATTAATCAATTATATAAAGCATTAAGCTTTTTTAATATATATAAAAAAACTGATTTATACTCATACTGATCAAATTATCCACAAATAAGGTAGACAAAGCATCCCAAAAAATGCCTTGAAGTGCTTGTGCTGGACTACTACTATTTTTTACTTCAAATATGATGTTAATAAACTGAAGCAGTGCGGGGAGAGACTGTGGAAGTGTGCAGTGATGCATTTCCTCCATGCTTCCCTGCTTCAGAATGAGGGGAACCCTGATGGTGTCATGATCCCATTAAAACAGATGCACTACCATGAAGCTTCCCGTCAATGGCTTGGCCACTCATTCTGTATTGATCAGCACACGTGGTCTGTAAACACCACAGAACCTTAAATCTCCCTTTGTCACTCACCAACATTATGATCTATTTATGGAGAAATTAAACTTTAAATTCTAGGAAGACAATAAAAGCAAGCACAGATACTAAATAATAATGTCTCAACTGATGTAATTATAGTGCTGTGGTTTAACTGGTACTGCTTTATTTCTATCAGGCATGACATTGCAAGTTGCCTAAAGAAGAAAATGCAACCAACATTGTACCAAAATGAGATTTCAATGATATGAGTTTTTGGTTTTATTTTGTTTTAAAATAGAAGTGTACGAGTTAAATTAAATCAATACAGAGATAATCATATAATAATCAGTTTTAGACAGTAAATCCATCTAAATTAACTAAAATAACAAGTTATGGTAATGTTCTTCTGCCACAATGCGGCATCATAAAACTAGAACATACAAATAGAACAAATACATTGCATTACACTTAAAGCAATAAAGCACAAGTAATTTCTTCTATGCTAAATTATATCAAATTATTTTATTTTTGCGAATTCTACTGGTTGATGCAGAATCTACACAGCTTTATTTTGCACGGGAAAACAAATCAATAGCATGCACGAGTCTATATAGGCAATCACACACATGCTTACCCACTCCTTGCGACGGTTATGGGTGGTGAAGTCATACACAGGCACTTTGATGCTTTTGCCCTTTTTCAGTTTTCTCAACACAGTAACCACCAGCTCAAAATCAAAGGCATCCGGATGATCAAAGTTGTACTCGTTTCTGGCAGCCAACTCCTGTTCCTCTTTACTCAAAACCTGCAAGTCAGCAAGAATAAGAAGTTCAAAAAACGTTAACAAGTATACTTCGGCAGCCCGTGTTCCTCGACAGTCCACAATTTGTGTCATCTCTGTCTACGGGGCACCCTAATTTTTGAGTCCACGTGGACGGATAGCACACACCAGCGCTTGTGCGAGTGACTTAAGCGCTTGAAAACAAAGCCGCTGTGAATAAGCGGAACGCCGAAATTAAATAATGAAATGTGCCATTTGAAATTTTCTTCTAAAATTATCATTTTTATCAAGCTTGTATATTTAAGTTCAGTAATTTCACTTAAATGGCAATGGAGATTACTTATTAATTGTCATTTAAGTGAAATTACTGAACTTAAATTTACAAACTTGATAAAAATGGTCATTTTAGAAGAAAATTTCAAATGGCATTTAGAGGCTTTTGCATCTGAACTCTTCATATATAAATTATGGTGGCGGATAAATGTTGTGAGGTTGACAATAACAAAAAAGGTAATATTCAAAGAAAGCGTCCTGTAGAAGTCCCACCATAAAGAAACAGATTGACTGATTGAACCACTCAATTAGACCACTAATAGGCTGAAGGATATGCCATTAAATCAAATAAGGATTAATGAATAGACCTTATAGTGTTTCAGCACATCCAACAGGGACAGGACCAAATTATATTAAAGCTTCAATAGTTTCAACACATGAAGAAGTTCCATTTGGAGCAGTTTAATGGTCTGCAAACGCAACTAGAAACAATAGTTGCTGTCTTAAAAGGACAGAAAGTCAAAAGCAGATGTATTCTGGGTCTTAAAAAGTACCTTGTAGAAAGAGTCCATAGAAAGCAGAACAACCCAAGGAACATCAAGAGCCTCTATGATCTTATTGGCCACGGTGGTTTTCCCAGAGGCACTCCCTCCACACAGACCTGCAGGACACACCAGAAGACCCAGCTTGTTCAAATGCACAAAGAGCAAATATTTAATGGAAACGTTTGACCACGATCATGGCACAACTATGAAAGTTGCTCTTGTTATTAAGGTAAGATCTGAATTCAAAAAGGGCTGTTAAGCAAATCCCCTTATCAAAATCATGTTTGAGAAACTTATACCAAAACAAGACATCTTGAATGAATTTGTATTAAGGTTCCCAAAAAAAAAACAACAACGTGCTTTTAGATTCATTGTGCTTCACAATAATACATAATATAACAGCTTACAGTGGGGGAAATAATTATTTGATCCCCTGATGATTTTTTAAGTTCGCCCACTCACAAAGAAATGAAGGCTCTATCATTTTTAATGGTAGGTTTATTTTAACAAATCAACCAAAAAAAAAATCAACCAAAAAAATTCAGAAAAAATAAATAAATTGAATAAACGTTATAAGTTAATTTGCATTTCAGTGAGTGAAATACGTTTTTGATCCACAGGCAAACCATGCCTCAGAAACTTTTATTATTATATTATATATTTATATGATTAATGAATGTGCCACAATGCAATTCAATATAAATGTGTCTTTCTTGTCACCCAGCTTTACTTGTATAATTCTTTAAATTGCAAAACCTGGTTATTATCCACCATCCACTGTGATGCAAACTACTTACTTGCCACAACAATCATGATATATAAATATTAATGAATTATTAACTCATCTGACTACATTACAGAAAAGCCATTCATGTAAGACATTATGCTGACCACTACATTTGCAGATACTAAAGTTAAGTATCAGAGAGATCTCTAGAATAAAGGCCATAAAGAAAATGTGATAAAAATGAGATTCACCACCAGTGGGAATAACAAAAAGCTTCTTGTTGTCCCATGGATTAAAGTTACTTAAAACTGCTTCAGTGTTCTTGTGTCCTCTCTCGCCTCCCTGTTTTACTGACCTTTGGTTAAGGGAAGATCATTCCACTTGGGTGGATTTATTAGCTTCTCTGACCGAGCGAGCAGGGATGACAGTCACACCAAGACACCAGACTTCGTTTTTTTTTTTTTTTTTTTTACAGGAATAATTGACTGGAGCACATCCAAGTGTGAAATTGTAAGCCGTTCGACAGGCTCTTTGTGAGTAATGGATTGCATACTAATGACCTCAGAGCTTAGTCCTGAGAGAGCTCATGTTCTCAGACCAGATTCACACAACAAAAGTGTAAACCCTGCTACACTAATATTTTCCACAAAAGATTTTAAACATGCTTTAAGATGCATGGCAAAGAATCCTAAGATAATTAACAGTGTTACAGCTTCGACAAAATTAAGCAGCAAAACGGTTTTCAACATTGACAATAATCAGATATCATATTTACAATCTGAACCCTGGAATATATTAATCTAAATATACCAAATAATATTTAGAAATACCAAATCAGCATATTAGAATGATTTCGGTAGGATCAAGTGACACTGAAGACTGCTGAAAATTCAGCTTTGCCATTGCAGGAATACATTACATTTTAAATATCATTTAAAACAGAAGACCGTTTTTTTAAAATCACAAATATTACTGTTTTTTGTATTTTGATCAAATAAATGAAGCAATGGTGATCATTAAAGACCAAAACAAATGCCCACATTTTAGAACAATAGTGTATCATGTCTCATTTTTAGAGCAAGTAATGTCTATATTCTCCAAAAAAGAAAAAACATTCATTCTGTATTAGCCTTACGAGTTAATTTATACTGCATTTTACATTTATGCTTTTTATTTAATACTTGCTAATCTTCTGAGTTTAATAAAGTATTAACAAAATATGAAACCTAAATTAAACATATTTAATTAATAAATGACTTACTATGCAATGTTTTTATAATCTTTTGTCAAATATGATAATTCATTGCACTTTATTTAAGACTGACTTGTGGTAATCAAATGTAGTAAAGTTATGCATGTGTGTCGTACCTATGACAAAGGCTTCTTTAAAGGTGGTCCCAGTAACGTTGTACCAGGGTGGTCGCCCTGCAGTGTAAATTGTCCTCTTATTTGTCCTTAGTAATGGAGGCTCAGTTTTGCTTTGGCTGGTGGTCCGTTTCCGTGGGGACAGCGAAGGGGTGAGGGGACATCTTGGTCTCATAAGGCCATCGAGAGAATCCTCGCCACTACCACGAATTAAAGACAAACAAATCAAACTGCAAAACATTATGTTTTATAAAGTAGCACAATGGGATTTTCTTTAGCAAAACATTTTTGTGTCACTTAATCATCAATAACTGATAAACGATCATTGAACAGAGCAAAGTAGTAAGTGTGAGTGTCCACGTCGCCATCAGATATGCCTTTATAATCTTGAACGGCCCCATTTGACCTGAGCATAGCTATTGGACACTGTTTCATAGAGAGCTTGAGGAAATCTGGGTCTTTGTGATACCCTCAGAAAAAGCTGCTCACATGATCATTTCTGTAAGTGTGGAAGAGGGACTAGGAGCTTTCTTTATTTCCTGTCCAGGAAACCACACATCTGCTCAGCCAAACCTGGAGCCTCATTTGAGTAAGACTCTCATCACATGGACAGACACTGCACACTCACTGGGGCTAATGAATCATAAAATTTAAGTACAGTCCATTACACAATAGCAGTGCTAAAAAGGTCAGGATGTTTGCTTTGAAAGACTGGGTTTATGTGGATTAAGGGTGTGACATGTTTTGAGCATTTTGCTGATAGGCTACTTTTGATTTTTTTGGAAGGAATACAAGGAATGTGTTACATTAGGCTCTTGTTGAGCTAAAATGCGATTTAAAATTGTTATAGTTAATGGAAATATCCATATCAAGTTATATGAAACTCTAACGTGCATGTTATGCTTAATTACCCTGCCCGTTTACACCAAGAATGATAACTAAAGATAACTATCTATATTAACGTCCACACCAGCGGACGCTTTCGTTAAATTTATTCTAATTTCTAGGTGAGTGCCACTTGACTGTCACTTACTTTAAATGCTCGAGCTCGTTACAGGAGGATGGACTCTGATTGGCTATCAATGTTTTTATCGCTATTCAGCTGGGAAAAATCGTTCTGAAAGTAATTCCAACGATAGCGTTTTAATGTGCAGTTATCGTTATAGCTGTGGTGTGGACTCCGCTATTTTTTAACGTTGAGAACGTTTTTTAGAACTAGGCTATCCTATATCTTTAACGTCATTTTTAATGTAAACACACCCCAATTAGCGTAGTTTTTATTTGACAACTAAAAGTGGATAATATCGACTATTAGCATTCAAAATAAAAGTAATGCTTTCGTTTATTTATCTTTATTATGCATGTTGCTTTACAGCCCTCTTCATTCAACTCATTCTTCCATTGATTTGATTTTGCTGCCACGACAGCAGCTCCAGAAAAAAAAGCATCTGGTCATTCTGTTTGAGTTCTAGATCTCAACCAGACAAAAAATAAGACCAAACAAGCAGGTAACGTTACACTGTAGCCAAATGTGTCCCTTGCTGTACTGTTGCCAGTGGTCAAAACAACACTGTCCTTTATTTGTCAACCATATCAGTTACTAATAATCACATTAGCTGAGCTCGACAGACACTTGATCTACTCACCTGTCAGATCTCGACAGCGCCTGATCATCCTCCACTGCTTCTTTCTGTTGCAACTGGCCATCGTTTTGGCTCGTTGTCATCGCCATGTTTTGTGCCGCGAACGCGCGGAAACGCATGCCGGAAGTGGGTTTACGTCACGCTTGTGGTGGCGCATAGAAAACGCAGAGTAAACACGTTCTTCTTTTTTAATTTGACTGAATTTTATGGTATTACAAATATATACATATATATATGGGCTTATTTAACATTTAAACTGTGCACGCGCGCAAGTTTGTTTCCATTGTTGATTACAGCAGCAGGGGTGTTCAATCCTCCTCCTGGGGAGGCAGGTTTCCAGAAAGCAGGTTCTGTATGGTTCTGTGACTGATATACCAGGGTAAATTTACGGGAAGCACAGATAATACGAAATATTTTCCGTTGTGAGAGGGTGATCATTGTTTCTTTATTTCCTGTAATAAAAAGACATTTGTATGTATTGCTTTATAGTTGTAGTTTGTAGTTATTCAACAACAAATGTCAGATTAATGTTCACATACTGTTTCCCACCTGGTGTTCCAGCAGTTAAATTTTCACTTTTTCTAATTTGCCTTTGAAGATGGACCTTATACAGCTCTATGGCAGGCAACCAGAAAGACAAAATAATTCAACATGGTTGATAAAGTGTTACAAACACAGACCAAATATTTAAATGAGGAAGGACAACTGCAGAAAATGTCCTACATTGCTAACATTCTGCATGCGGTATGTGAAACCCTCATCTGCATGTAAACCCCCAGCCATATTCTGTAAAATGTAATTTTTTATTCTCTCATGTAAAAAAGAGGGAATGCGTTATATGCATAATATCTCTATGGGCCTCTCCGCATTTGTAATTTCTGTCACAGCAGAGGTGGTCTCAATCATCCTACAGTGCAAGGATGCTTGTTGCAAACAGAAACCTAAAGACATTAATCACTTACAACTATGACAGATTGTGGTGTTGCAGGAGGGTCAAAAAATGTGGCCATCAGCAATTGCAAGACAATTAAACCAAGATACTCGTACTCGTATTAACTCCAAGGAGGTTGATTGAACTAACTTCTCGCATGTGTTTTGGAACCGAAATACCCATAAGCAATTTTTGGGTAACTTAGCCTATACGGTATGGGTTTTGGGTGGCCTATCCTATTTACAAAAGTTGCCTCGAATTTAAAATAACTTTTCCATTTCCGTCTTACAGACACGTGCACCCATTTGCACTGAAGCCAGAATTGCGCAGCAATTAGGCTAGGCTAATCGTTAATTCCCAACAGACGCAGACTTTATTCACGTTAAACCGAGCTCTGACACCTTTTGCGGATCCTACTATAGCTAAGGCGTATCCCTTAATTACTATTATATACGTCCTGGTGACGTTGCTTGTAGCTTTCCAATGACGAACGACTGGCTTTTGAATATTACGTTTGCAAAGATGACGTTGCTCTCCTTTAGCTCATGAATATTAATAGCCATGCCTTCGCCATGGTAAGATTCGTAAACGAGTTAACCGGACTGCTGAATCTTCTGCACCACATCTATCCGATCTTCCCCACAGCCAAGTTTGCCAGCTCCGCACACAGCATCGGAATTACTGACCGCAGTCCTGTTTTCTCCTTTCTGTGGACCTGATGCAATGAGTGCTTTCACTCATTTTTCTGAATCCTCCGAAAATGACTTGGAAGAATTTTTATTTTGCCTTCTAATTTAAAACGCATATTTTAATTTTCGCTCGCAATTCGTTTTTTTTTTCCCCCACTGGTCACTGAAGCTGGACCATGGATCCTCCACCGACTTCAGAGAAATCGCATCTCATCAACGAAAGAAATGCCAAAATATACTCCTTAAAATTTAACAGGTAAAATAATGTAGCCTATTCATCGATTTCACAAAGGCATTTATTATCCACTATTATTATTATTATTATTATTATCAATTTGCATTGGAGATTTTAGGTCTGCAATGCAAATTGGTCTGTTCTGATATCTGATATTAGATTCTGGTCTGGAAATTTGCAGAATAAAATTAAACGTTTTTAAAACATGTAAAATGTATTTAGTTCTTATTTAGAACAGATAATATAACTGATAGCCTATTTTCCGACTTAATTCTCAAAATCCCTTACAACATGACCTGTTGTAGCGAACAGATGGAGTCTGATATTTCCACAATGTGACTAATTCGAAAACAATATGCGCCAAATTGAGTTACGAAAGCCATTCGCGTGTATTTTTAACACAGTCCATAATTTAAATGTGTTGAGTTTGTTCGAGAGATTCGAGGATTCGTTTCATGCTTGAGTTTATTTTAGCCTTTTTGAGCAATAGCCTCAAACTTTAGTGAGCAAAATTGACATTTAATGACTTCCATTTGGAGATTACACACGATATAAGATTTTCACTATGTTTCTTTGAAGCAATAAAATCAGATAAAACCATATTGCATCAAAATCTTTATAGCCTCCTTTACGCCCCATGCAGTAAGCTATAGCAAGCCGGTGAGAGAACAGTTTCAGCACCCTGGACAGATACTCTTGAGTTGTCAATATGAAAAAGAGTAATATAATTTAACGTGTTGCCTACTCAGAAATGATAACCATCATTATCCATAGTGTTTATAAATGGTGTGTCATTTAAATATAACTCTTGGTTATAAGTAGCTTTTTATTAGGCCAGCAAATATGTAACTCGGTACTTTATTATGCCTAAATAACAGATAAAGTGTAGCCTACTGGTACGTAACGGATATATTTATCATGAATAATACGAAAACATCACAATTTGCGCTGGACATAAAATTACACAATGATGGACTTAAAATTACACAAAGGCATGAGTTGAATTGCTGCTAAAACATTGACAATTCTCACAAACCAAAGCCGTAAAGTAGCTTATGTATTTGTGACATTGAGGATGATGTCGAGGAACAGAACAATGAATGATTGAAACCGCGTAATTATTACAAATTTGTCTATGCGACAAAATGATTGAGTCCAGCAGGAGATAAGGGCAAACGATAGTGCAAGGACAATATTTCATTGGAAGTCGTTTTCCAGTTGTTTGCAGTGAATTTCGATGGATATCCCGCTGTTTAGATTGTGGTCTTGAAAATATTTAGATGAATGTGGTGTGGTAGAAGCATTTTTTGGAAGCTGCTGAAACAAATAACATTGCCTGCATTACATTAACAAATATTTCAGAGAATGGTACATCATATGATTGGTGTATCAACAGGTCGCTTGAAAAACACGTGAAACAATTGCGCTATTTTCTCAAATTGAAAATCTGCCAAGCTCTTTCTGTCTTTAAGAGAGAAGAAAATGGATAAATGCATGTGCTGTACAGTGATAACGTTATTTTTAAAACTTAATATTCTATTATTATCAACACCCATATATAATGTTAAAAACTGTAATGTTAAACTGCATCGATTTCAGAAAGATTTTAAACGTGTTATTTTTAAGAAATAAATGAAGAGTTCAGATGCAAAAGCCTCTAAATGTCATTTGAAATTTTCTTCTTTAATGATGATTTTTATCAAACGTGTACATTTAAGTTCAGTAATTTCACTTAAATAACAATTAATAGGTAATTATCATTGCCATTTAAGTGAAATCACTGAACTTAAATATACAAGCTTGATAAAAATCATCATTAAAGAAGAAAATTTCAAATGGCATTAAGAGGCTTTTGCATCTGAACTCTTCAAATATAGGCTAGGCTATATATAGCCTAGGCTATTTTGATATCAAAATGCTCGTAATTTTATATCACTGCACAACACATTCTACCGTCTTGATCCAGTGGGGTGTAAAGAATCAGGACCCCGTCATGCTTTGCATTGCCACAGGATCGACAGCATGTTTCAGAAACCTCCAGTAAACATCTCCATATGCGCCTTAACCACAAGAAGGGGCTAATGCATGCATTAATATGAACAGATGAGATATTGTTAGAGGAGGAATGTGAATTGTACCATACAAATGCGGTTGAACCTGCCAGCAGTGGCAAAATTCACTGCATAAAAAGTGAAGTTTCAGCCATCACATGAGGCATTTAGCATGACACCGATGTGGTATTTACTAAACAACATAAAGCAATCATGCTCTTTCTTGCGCACCGTAAATGATGGCAAATAAGGTGTCTTGCGTTTTTACTTAAAAAAACAACATGATTTTAACGATAGTTTACCGTAAAATTATAAAATATTTTTATATTTCTATATTTAAAAAAACCGTTAAGATAGCTACGCATCTTAAAATTTGCAAAAAATTAAACCGAGCCAAACTAGACACATTTATATTACAATTGTATTTTAATAATAGTCATCATTGCAAATGAATACTGATTCAATAAGTAGATATAGAATATGGCCAAAGTTCATACATCAGGAGATCAGAAAACATATGTGTTTTCTGAATATTGTTGGACGATGTCTATGCACTGGACTAAACAAAAATGAAAAAAAATCATGCAGTGTAGGCTATCATGTCTGTGTGTCCCAGTGGGGTGATTAAACAGACGCCGTGTTCCACTCGACTGCCTTCAGCAGCGCTCGTGTGTGTGTGTGTGTGTGTGCGCGCCTGTGATGCAGTACTGGTTATCTCATGCGCACCGACATTGCGCTTTCCGCCCCATTAGCTCCATCATTGCGTCTCATCAACACATAGACAGAGAAGGGCCGAAAACGACAATGTCAGCAGATTTAAACTCAGGCTGATCTGGTTGTTCATGGCATGCACTAGCATTTCCCCCCACAAAGCAATGCTACACACATTTTTATATAAAACATATACTTATATTGTGAAAATATAGTGCCTGAACTTAAGTGATATCATGTAACTTTCATGATATCCATCCATCCATCAAACTGCTTAGGGTTGTGCATGAGATGCTGCTAGAGCTTATGCAGGATGTTGTCAAATTTGCATTATAGACTCTACTTTACATGATCATAGCCAAGGGTTATTAAAGGATATGCGTGAAGGCTGATTTACACGTGAGAGTTGTAAAAGTCATTGAAATGGTCCCATTATATATCATGGCTTCTACTTTTAGTGAATTCTCAGGTTCCAAAGAAGGTTGTCCAGACCTGCCTTTGGGAAATGGGGATATGGCTGGTGCCATCGAGCTGAAGAGGCCTGTGGGAACTCATTGCCATGGGAAAAAAGCAGCCTGCGATGAGAGCCGAGAGAAACTCATAGCAAAGAAGAAACTGTACATCGCCTCCATAGTCTGTCTGGTTTTCATGATTGGAGAAGTTATAGGTAAGAACAGAGTGTCTTTTAAGGAAACGTATGGGTTTATTAAATGTTAAAGCCAGAAATTCTTAACTGGCATAAATGTAACATTACTTTTCATATATATTGTATACAATAGGCTAAATCACATTATAAGTTGTGGCAAAGAACTTACTGTATATAAAAAAACATCATCCATGCATTTAGCTTTGTCCTTGAGTGTAGGTTATGGTTAGGTTTTAGGCTTTGGATTATGAGAATAAATGTACTTGTAGTCGCCAAGTTACTCATAGTCAGTTGAATGTCTGTTGGAGGACCAACAAAATAAAGTGTTAGCAAATATTAAGCTGACAGTCTACTTATACTCTAATGACAGTTAGTTGACATGTAGTTGAAAAGTTACTTATAGTAAGTAGAATGTCTAAAGTGGACTATCGAAATAAAGTGTTACCCAGTTTTGCACTGTAGCATTTTTTACAGTCTTTTACCGTTAAAATCTCGATAATTTTTTACAGTTTATAGTGGAAAAAGGTTCTTTATAGAGTTTTAAAAATTATTCACACTAAGAAAAAAAGGAAATGTTCACTGAAAGGTTTTTTTGGGGAGCCAAAAATGGTTCTTCTATGGCAAAAACGTTTTTTTGGGAGTACCTCTCTTCCTTTCTCCTTCTTTGCTGCTCTTGCAGGCGGTTATCTAGCACACAGTCTAGCCATTATGACCGATGCAGCGCACCTTCTGACGGATTTTGGCAGTATGATGGTCAGTATTTTTTCCTTGTGGATCTCCTCAAGACCTCCAACCAAGAGAATGAACTTTGGCTGGCACAGATCAGGTGAGGCCATCTCTTCTCAATCCTGAGAAATGAATTGTACAAACATGGTTGATGTTGAAAATCTAAATCAAGCCTATAAATTAAAGAAATATTTCACCCAAAAATAAAAAAACAAAGACAATTTTACTCACCTTCATGTTGTTCCAAACCCATATGCAGTTTTTTTCCCCATGCATGTAGCAAAGAACAACGTTTTCCAACATTAATTCATAGTGATCACATCTGTCTGTCAAGCTCTAAATACAACACAAATATCACAAAAGAAATCGATACAATTTATGTGCTATTCTTCATCTCCTGAGGTTATAAAATAGCTTTGAATGAGAAGCAGGCTGATTATTTTTGCATGAACTATTCCTTTAAAGCAGATTTGAAGACTTTGCAATATCCAGCTGTGATGCCAAACCCTATTTGTTTCAAATAAACGTCTCACAGAGATTCTGGGAGCCCTGGTATCTGTAATGTCCATCTGGATCGTGACTGGGGTGTTGGTCTACCTTGCCATTGAGAGGATAGTAAAAAACGATTATGAAATTGAAGGCAGTGTGATGCTCGTCACCTCGGGTTGTGCAGTCGTGGTCAACATCGTGTGAGTAGACAGACATTCCTATGAATTACTTAAAGTTGGCATGAAACATAAGATGTGATTGTCTTCTTTCCCCTATTGTGACGTATATCCGAGTGTAACTGCTTCTCAAACAAGAACAAATGTAGGGTGGGACTTGATTGTGTTCATTGGCTATTGATTGGATGGTTGTGGTTATTGACGTGATGTCATGTGAGTGACAGATTGTCCCGCCCTCGCGCCAGTAAACACGAGAAGTAATTTTTATTAAAGATTACGAGTGCACATGATAGAAAAATATATGAAGATGTGCATGCACAAATAAATAATTTAGAATAAATACTGCATTATTCCATGAAATTTTTTAAAAAAAATAAGAATTGTCAATGTTGATTATTAATGATTCTTTTAATTACAGATTGATAAATTGATATGCTTTTGTTTGCTTTGTTTATATTCCAGAATGGCCTATATTCTTCACCATTCCACGACCTTCCACAGTCACGGTTCAGGCTACCACAAGATTGATGAGAATGGGATGAGCCCCGTGGGCCATGGCCACTCCCACAGCCTCCTGGGGAATCATGGGAACACCAGTGTGAGAGCAGCATTTATTCATGTTTTGGGGGATCTCTTACAGAGCTTTGGAGTCATGGTGGCCGCCATTATCATCTTCTTCAGGGTAAATTAACACTAACATAAAGAATCACCTTAAAAATGTCTCACCTCAATATAAAATGGCATTTACAGTGCAATTAACTTCCATTTGCCAATGAACCAGAATATTTTGTGTAAATAATGGACTTAAAAGTTGTTCCCTTCAGGCAATAGTAAGATCCAGGGAAGCAAATGGGTCAATTATATTGTCTTTAAATATTTCGTTTTATTTAATGGCCTAACAAAAGGTTAATGAACAATGTATTTGTTATTTTAGGAAAGAAAAGAAAGTAATTATAAACTAATGATTTGCTAATTATAGTACGATTCTTTTTTATGAAAGATATAAATTAAAAAAATAAATTATAATTTTTTTTTTTCATTTTTTATAAATAAAATAAAAAATGTATCACGGTTTCCACAAGTATAATAAAAAGCAGAACTGTTTTTTAACATTGATAATAATAAGAAATGTTTTTTTGTGTCGCAAATCAGCATATTAAAATGATTTCTGAAAGATCATGTGACACTGAAGACTGCAGTAATGATGCTAAAAATTCAGCTTTGTCATCACAGGAATAAATAATTTAATTAAAATGAATTACGATTTCTATTAAAATAAAAATAAGTTATTATAAATTGTTATAATTTATATATTTTTTATCCTGTAAGAAACTTTTTTCATAAGATTCCTGATTTAAAAAAAAACATCCTACTGAACCCAATTTATTTTTTTAATTTGTCAAATCCCCATGATAAGGAATTTGACACGATTTCCTTCCCTGACTCTTGAAAGCACCTCAGTGGAGATTGTTTCTTCTGACATCGTAGTATAATTGAATTGGACACTTTGCAAGTGAACCATCTCATTTTGTTCTTTAATGTATCAGTACCTCCTGTTCTCTATCCAATTTCTAACACAGCCAGAATACAAAATAGCTGATCCCATTTGCACTTTCCTCTTCTCTGTGTTCGTCCTGGGCACCACTATTACCATTCTAAGAGATGTCTTCCGCATTCTCATGGAGGGTAATTTTCACATTTAATAAATTTCAGTTGCAATATTCTCAATCACTTAAAATATGCATGCAATGTCCGTATATTTTTTACTTGCATAGGACACATGGTTTAAAAATCTCTATTTAAAGGCGAAGTGTGTAATGTCTGCACCCCCTAGTGACACCAAAGGGAATTGCAGAAATAATGACTGTTTCCAAACAAATTTGAAATTTCCCAAACACAATCCAGTCCCAGAAAAGAAAAATGACACACACATCACCTTTAAATGCAACCTATGAATCTCGCAGAAGATCTGCTATACTTTTAAACTCAGTGTCATGTGTCTGTGTTCAGGAGTACCCAAAGGAATCGAGTTTAATTCAGTGAAAGAGGTGCTGCTGTCTCTGAAGTCAGTGAAGGCCATGCATAGCTTACACCTGTGGGCTCTCACCATAGGCCAGAGTCTGCTATCTGTTCACATAGCTATTGGTAAGTTCATTAAATAACAGCTCAGTTATATTGTTACTGTTATAATGTTCATTTGTCTTGTGGTTTATGCAAATTTTTTATATCATGTATCTAAATCTGTTGAACGTGTTATTTGGTACATCAATTACTTTATTTTATTTTAAGGGCATAATGCAACAATATTTTTTAAATAAAATATTTTTTTTTTCCTTTTTAAATGATTGTTTTTATAAAAAAATTTAGTCAAATATCAATTTGCATGTAGCCAGCAGTTTAACATGGAAATTAATCTTTATTGTTAGACTTATACACTGATCTATATAGAATGTCATATATATAATATAATATATATATATATACACATATATATATATATATATATATATATATATATATACTGTATATATATATATATATATATATACATATATATACACACATATATATATATATATATATACACATGTTGTTATCATGATATAAATGTATATATATGTACTAAGAATGATAATAAATCCTTCTGCATTTCATTTCATTCAAGCACTGCGTCATCAACTTAAGCTAAAACAAAACTGTTTTTCTTTCTCTCTCGTTTTAGAGGAGAATGCCGACCCTCAGAGTGTCTTAAAGGAAGCCACTGAACTCCTTCAGACCAAATTTGGCTTTTACAGCACAACCATTCAAGTTGAGCCTTATTGCGAGGACATGATCCACTGCTTCCAGTGCCAGGACCCTACGGACTAAGTTCTCCGAGTGCACCGGTGAGGGGAGACCGCCTGTATAAAATGTATGCACACATATTAAGCTTCATTGAGGGTCCAAGCCAGAAATGGAAACACTGTGCAAATGTATCATCTACATATCATTATGAATATGTACATGTCAAATGCATTTCTATCGATTACCAAGGAAAAATAAAGACATTTCACGCTGTGCCATCCTAAAAGAGCATCGGTTTATGGGAGGAATAGCTTTAACATGAAGTGGTGGGGTTTAGCTTCACATACTGTATGCAAAGATGAAGTGAACTGAGCGGGGGAACATAAATATGAGGCCTGGATGCATCACTGTGAGCCTTTTATTGTGACTTTGCGAGGTTTTGCTTGGATGGCAAGCATTGTACATTATTGCAGGAGTGTACTGTAATTGCCTGTCCGTGGTCTTAGGAGAGTAAAAGATGGGTATTGACGTGACTTCCTTAAAAACAATTAGAATGGGGTTTATTATGCCCCATCCAGCCTGCCGTCTGCTGTCAGCATGGTTCTATAATCAATGTGAACGTCCGGCAAACTACGGCATGGTGTCGTAGGGCTTAAATAGAGATTCTGCTAAAGTGTAATTATGGATTTTGTTGAGAGATCTCTCACTAATGTCTTGTTTCACGGTACAATACTATCTGCAAAAGCAAGTGGGTGATTAACTCTGTTCTTCCTCACTGGCTGCGATAGTTAAGGACTTGTGTTGTTTTTAAGCGTGGCTTTATGGGGCTTTGAAAGAACGGCAGAGACAAAATGACAGATGACAGTAATCAACTAAGAATGATATTAAAGGTGAAGTGTGTCATTTTAAATACTTTCTCCATCCTAGTTTCATGAGCTGAAACCAGGGGCCTCGTTTATAAAATGAAAAAAAATCAAATTAGTTTTAGATTTATCTAATTTTAGATTTACACCTAAACAAAATGCCGTTTTATAAGAGAAGTCACGAACAATTGTGCAACAGGTATTCCGTTTCCGGCACTTCTCATTCATTTCTGAGGTATCCGCAAACAGTGATTGACTGTCGCACAACTCGGAACGAAATTTAGAAGGCTGTAATGTGATTGGTTATTAAGGCACACGTGATCCAAGTTAGCCGTTACGGTTTTTCCAATGGAGCCACGGTTACTCTCATATCTTCCAGTCCAAATAATAAAACCATTTCTGGGGGAGATCTGAAACCATTCAGCTGCGCACAATTTCAAGATCATTTGTGATTTCGAAATTCCACACATGGAAGAGAGACGTTTGCACGTTTTTTGTTTTTGCTCGTTCTCTGAATCACACATACGCGTATTGTTTGAGAAATTATTGTAAGATCAAATGATGGTTTCTATGCAACATTTTATAAAACAAAGCCCCAGTACAAGGTTAATATCCCAACAAATCTTCTAAATCAACCAATTGTGCGACTTTGAGGCGAGACTATCAACACCGAATGCAAATATCTGTGTGTATAGTTGACTAAATGTGCATTATATCACAGAAGAAACAGTGTTAGGTACTGTATATCTTTTTGGTTATTATAATTTCCATGACTTATTTGGTCAGTCTGTCAAAAGTGATTTAAAATGCAAATTAATATTGTATTTAGATGATAACTGGATGCCACTTGCTGATTTGATTTATACATGCAATTTAGTACACTCAAAAAGTGTAAGCCTTTTTCAAGATTTGCGCATTTTAGTTAATAGTAAAAATCCAAATAATAATTGATTAATCCTTAATTAATATATGTAAGAATTATTCAATTCAATTTGATAAGTGTTGTACTAATTATTTGAATGCGTAAATCTTATAAAAAGGCTTAAAATGTGTTTTTTTTTTTGTGTACTACATACAAACCATACTAATACATTTCTGTATTTAAATAATAAACATACACTCTAAAAAATTCTGGGTTGTTTTAACCCAATTTTGGGTAAAATATGGACAAAACCAGCCATTGGGTAAAAAATGTCATTTAAAAATGTAACCCAATAGCTGGGTTTGTCCATATTTTACCCAAAATTGGGTTAAAATAACCCAGCATTTTTTAGAGTGTACATTCTTGACAACAAACTGCCAAAAATGAAGACATTTTTACACACAAATAAATGAAAAAAGGAAAACCAGTACACACAGTATTAAATAAGCTGCTATTCCATTCATAGCAAGTGACTAATTTGTTTGAACAATGATTGATAATGAAGGGGAAATTAATTTTGCAGTTGCATTGGATAGCGCTAGTATTGATATCGAAAATACACACTTCACCTTGTTAGGATGCTGTTGTGGGTCACTCTGGTTTGTCAAAGTCATTCATGCCACATCCTCCATATGCTCATGTCTTCGGGCTCTGTGCCTAGGTATAGGGAACAGCTTCTAGACACACACTTTTTGCACAGGATTTCCATCTCTGATCTCTCGGTGCCGCCACACTGCCGCAATGACTCTAAGACATTCCAGCAAGTGGTGCAACACGTTTCAGTAACATACAATAATAAAACACACGGTTTTCATTTTCACTGCAGTTTTCGTCTAAATGGATTTTGAAAATGATTATTTTGGTACCAATTTTCAGAGACCCTAAATGTGCACTAATGTTAAATGTACATTATATGTGAAGATTTTATATTAATAAAACACTGCATATAATTTGAGACTAATAAAAGACGCACTTGACAGATAATTATTGTGTTTTAAAGCTTGCGTGCACTGCTAAAATGTAGCCATTGTGACCTGTTGTAGCGCTGTGAAAGAGTTAAGGGATTGCTTGCATGGTTGCTTTGTTTGTTTTTCATGTGTCTGCGATTTAGATGGCCAGTAATCATAAATGATCAACCCAGTGACCTCGCGATCTCACTGAAAGACCTAAATTAAATTCTATATTTTGTCTATTTGTTTTGATAAAATGAATATCTATTTTAAATTTGAATATCACAGTCATTTATAAGAGAGTGCGAACAAATTATAATATGAACGGACCAATGCGCAAGTATTTTATTTTTGATAATGTTGGTGGGTTGGTGTGCCAAAGTTCTACATCAAAAAATGAACATTCAGAGAAATCGCAGTGGCCTAGAGAGTAAAGTAAAATACAATTCACTGTGATGATTAGAACACGGGCTATTCCTGTTATGCTCAACTATTTCTGTTAAAGTGTAGCAAACACTTAAACTTTATGTTACATGCTGTTTGATAACATTTCCAAATCTGATAATAACTAAAAACATTAAGGATACATTAAAGGTTACTTTCACACTTTCACCAAAATGCTCACCCTCATGTAGTTCCAAACTTGCAAGACTTTTGTTCATCTTCAGAACACAAATGATGATCTTCAAAAAGTTCATAAAGAGATTGTAAAACTAATCCATATTAATAGAGAGGTTTAGTCCAAATTTTCTGAAAAGACTCGATCGCTTTTATTCCATATATACATTGATCAGCGAACAAACAGAAGCTCAACCGAACCTGCTTGAGTGAGAACAAACCTCTTGAGGAAGCTCAAACGTGCTGCGTAACATGAGATTGAACCTCATTGGTTCTCGTGGAAGCTCAAACGTGCTGCGTAACATGAGAATGAACCTCATTGGTTCTCGCGGAAGCTCAAACGTGCTGCGTAACATGAGAATAAACCTCATTGGTTCTCGCGGAAGCTCAAACGCCCTGCGTAACACGAGATTGAACCTCATTGGTTCTCGAGGAAGCTAAAACGTGCTGCGTAACATGAGAATGAACCTCATTGGTTCTCGCAGAAGCTAAAACGTGCTGCGTAACACGAGAATAAACCTCATTGGTTCTCGCGGAAGCTCAAACGCCCTGCGTAACACGAGATTGAACCTCATTGGTTCTCGCGGAAGCTCAAACGTGCTGCGTAACACGAGATTGAACCTCATTGGTTCTCGCGGAAGCTCAAACGTCCTGCGTAACACGAGATTGAACCTCACTGGTTCTCGCGGAAGCTCAAACGTGCTGCGTAACACGAGATTGAACCTCACTGGTTCTCGCAGAAGCTCAAACGTGCTGCGTAACACGAGATTGAACCTCATTGGTTCTCACGGAAGCTCAAACGTGTTGCGTAACACGAGATTGAACCTCACTGGTTCTCGCAGAAGCTCAAACGTGCTGCGTAACACGAGATTGAACCTCACTGGTTCTCGCGGAAGCTCAAACGTGTTGCGTAACACGAGATTGAACCTCATTGGTTCTCGCGGAAGCTCAAACGTCCTGCGTAACACGAGAATGAACCTCACTGGTTCTTGCGGAAGCTCAAACGTGCTGCGTAACACGAGATTGAACCTCACTGGTTCTCGCAGAAGCTCAAAGTGCTGCGTAACACGAGATTGAACCTCATTGGTTCTCGCGGAAGCTCAAACGTGCTGCGTAACACGAGATTGAACCTCACTGGTTCTCGCAGAAGCTCAAACGTGCTGCGTAACACGAGATTGAACCTCATTGGTTCTCACGGAAGCTCAAACGTGTTGCGTAACACGAGATTGAACCTCACTGGTTCTCGCAGAAGCTCAAACGTGCTGCGTAACACGAAATTGAACCTCACTGGTTCTCGCGGAAGCTCAAACGTGTTGCGTAACACGAGATTGAACCTCATTGGTTCTCGCGGAAGCTCAAACGTCCTGCGTAACACGAGAATGAACCTCACTGGTTCTTGCGGAAGCTCAAACGTGCTGCGTAACACGAGATTGAACCTCACTGGTTCTCGCGGAAGCTCAAACGTGCTGCGTAACACGAGATTGAACCTCATTGGTTCTCGCGGAAGCTCAAACGTCCTGCGTAACACGAGATTGAACCTCATTGGTTCTCGCGGAAGCTCAAACGTGCTGCGTAACACGAGAATAAACCTCATTGGTTCTCGCACGTCAAGCGAACATGTTTAAGCTTCTGTTCATTTGTGTTCTGAAGATGAACAAAAGTCTTATGGGTTTGGAACGACATAAGGGTGAAAAATTAATGACAGAATTTTCATTTTTAGGTGAACGATCCCTTAAAATTAACAGGAATGTCAAGTTCCAATACCAACAAAATATGTTGATCTAGGAACATGTCTTCCTAGTTGTGAATTTGCATCCACCTTAGATGCCAAAAATGCATCTCTGAGAAACATTTACTGATCAGATATTCGCATCTTATGGGATTTCATAGTCACACAACAAAAGAGTGGAAAACACCCACATCCTAGAATTGGGTAAAATTTTGAATATTGCACTCAACTTCAAAAAGATGAGAGCATCAACTCAAAAGATGAGATGAACATGATAAATCCAAAATCAATTTCAGATGCAGGTGCGCTCAACCTAAACTAAAAAAAGCTTCGAAAGTGATAGCAGAGTGTGACGTGGTACATCATTGCTCATGTTTTTGACATGTTCTGCATTTTGTGTCATGAAGTTCTGAAAGACATTAATGTTGTTCTGTGGAAACTGTAAATAATCTTGATTATTTTCGCCGTGCCTCAGATTTGTGGATGTGTATACAAACTTGCTTCTTGTATAAACCTATCTGTCTATAAAAGTACTGTGTAAATGTTTTACAGTTATCCTGTATGTGACCACATAAAACCCCTATATAAGCCCGAAATTAATGATGGATATTTAATTTTTACATGCTTTTAATTTTATATCACATAACGTGTATGATTTTTGTAAGCTGTAATAAAATCATGTAAATCAAACAAACAATCTCCCACATTAATAATTACATCATGAGTTGGTAATCAGTGCAATATGCAAAGCAATTTGATCTAAAATGATGATGAAAAAATTTATTTTCATCATCAGTAAATTTTCAGAAGCAGTAAACAATCCAGTAAATAGTACAAAAGAGATATCATTTACAAAGTATGAATATTCAATAATAAACCTCCCAAAACTACTTACCATATCCAGAGCCTCACAGTAGGATTCAGATATTTAAAGGGATAATCCACTTTTTTTTGGAAATAGGCTCATTTTACAACTCCCCCAGAGTTAAACAATTGAGTTTTGCCGTTTTCGAATCCATTCAGCCGATTTTCTGATATTTCGAAGAATATCGGTAACCAGACAGTTTCTGGTCTCATTGACTTCCATAGCAGGAAAAAAAATATATACTATGGAAGTCAATGAGACCAGAAACTGTCTGGTTACTGATATTCTTCTAAATATGAGAAAATCAGATGAATGGATTCGAAAACGGCAAAACTCAACTGAAATGAGCCCATTTCCAAAAAAAAAGTGGAGTATCCCTTTAAATCACAACACTAAATTGAAATCCACTACAGACATAAACAGCAGCCTTATAATAAGCTTCCTTATTTAATCTTATCTGAGTGACCACAGCAGCATTTATATGACTGCCACCTCTCCAGATCCTCATCTCTGGAGTCAATTACATTCACACACGCGTAATTGAGGTCATGAATTATGAGGCGGATATCAAGGTACATCTGATCTTAATGACCAACGAATGAGTGCTATTGGTTCAGCGACAACTTTAACTCACATGCAGACTATAAACAGAATGATGCCCCTTACAACCCTGAGTAAGAAGAACGCACAAGCTGGAAAAGAGTACTTAAGACTTTAAATGGGGGAGGTCAAATAATAATGACAATAACAAAGGACAACAAAGCTCAAGATGCAGAATTAAAGCAATAGTTCTGCAAAAATGTTGACAATCTACTGACCCACGTGCCGTTTCAAAACCGAATGACTTTATTCCTTCTGTGGAACACAAAAGGAGAAATGTTCATGAATGTACAGTAATGGCCACTCTTTTCCATATAATGAAAGTGAATGGGGATCTGGGCTGTCAAAAAAAAAAAAAGGAAAAGAAAATGTCCAATCAACTCAAATACTTCATTAGTTGTTCAACAGTCCCTGGAAACAGACCCAAATTTAAGTTATTCACATATAATCTTCTCCTACACTGTAGCTCTCGTCTCATTTACAATGCTGCACTGTGATTGGACAAGTAATCGTCCACGATTGGTCACCTTGCGATGATGTCAGAACTAACATATGTATCTAAAGACTCCATATTTAAAAATATGTAGATGTGGACAATAAATGGCAAGATCGCATAAAATTAATGTGTGGCTTCTGAAGAATTATGAATATGGACTAAAAATATAGACCATTTTGGTGCTTTTTTGAGTGTCGTTTTGGAGTTTGGATGCCCTTACATTTCCATTAAATGTGCAAATGCATTCTTCAACATTTCTGTTTTCTTCTTCCACAGAAGAAATAGTCATACAGGTTTGGAAGGACGTGATGATGACGTTAAATTTTAGGGTTAACTATTCCTTTAAAATTGAGATTCAGGGTAAGAAATGCATAAAGTAAAAACAACAGATGATGATATGATAGATAAAAGAACAGGCTAGCAAATAGTTACGATCCAGTCCAAAGTTTTCGCACTACATGTCAAGGCTGTTACATTTGATCACAATATAACACTGAACCCGGAACAGGAGGAAACGGAGAACAGCTCCTCATGAAGCGACGACGAGTACTTTTAAGTGCTGACGATTTCATTGTCCACAAATGCCTTGGAAAGGACAAAACATTGAGCTAACGATACGAACATAAAAACATCACAACCTTCCTGTCTGAGCTTCACACAGTGCAAAGAAGTTCAAAAGGTTTTCCTCTCTGTACAGTGCTAAAAACGAAATGCACAAAAATATAAAATCGGATATATGCAGTCAGAGGCTTTGTATCAAAATAGTTTTTGCTTCATTCATTATAATTTAAGGATAAAAATTGGGTTTCTCAGTCATTTAAAAAATAATAGTCCAAAAGTATAAGCCTGTTATGACATCGCAATCCATTTTAAGACTAGCGCACTTGTACTGTATCCGCTGTGCTGTGACGAACGGCTGTCACAGAGTCATTGGGCTCCTGAGACTGGAACATGGCGCTGAACTGGGCCTGAGCCTCATGTAACTGCTTGAGCATGACGGAGCAGCTCAGTCCACGAGCGCAGTTCACACGCACCAAACCCGACTGACCGCCCGACAACACCCAGTTGTACGAATCCATGTTTGGGTTAAAACGGACCTGAGAGGGGAAAGACAGTAAAAACACTGAATTTCTTAAGTAGATGTCACTGATTTGTTTCATTCACATCAAGTGTTGTTGAGTAGCTTGCATTTTGCTCTAAGTTAGCGTTAATTTCAGTAGCACCTTAATGCAGTACAAGAGATCCACGGGGAGGAGTCGGATCAAGATCCAAGGGGTGGAGATGGGTAGGATTAGGGTTGTGTTTAGGCATTAGGGATCAGGAGGCGGAGTTGGGTAGGTTTAGGTGTACGTAAGGTGGGAGGAGTTGGATCTGGATCCGACTCCTCCCCGTGGATTTCATGTTCCACAGTGAGAACCATCTCGTTAATTTTGGCCCCTGTCCAGATATGTTTATGATCTAAATCAGATTAATTAGTAATTCCGAAAGGTCTGTTTAACCTTCTGTTCCTGAATGTCCTCTGTGGGTTACTGCACTATGCCGCCAGCAATAAAGCATTTTAGCACAGCTATAATCACTCTGTGTATGTGGCGATGATGAACAATAAACACTTCTCTTGCTGGAAGACATCCAGTTCTGCCTGTAACTTCCTCCTTGGCCACAGTTTTTATTTCCGAAATAGGATTAAAGGGAGTATAATCAAACTTTTCCGCATTTATTTTACACTACAGTTCAAAACAAACAAACACACACACACACAGGAGATCTTCATTTTAACTTACGGGACCTTATTGTAAAGTGTTACTAACATTAATTGTACTCAAAATATATCAGTGCTGTCAAATCGATCAATCCCGATTAATTGCATCAAGGCATCTAACACAAAAGTTTGTTTATATAATGTGTTCACACACACACACACACACAGAAAGAGAGAGAAATATATCTAATATATAATAATATATACACATATTATGTAAACAAACTTTTATCTTAGATGCAATTAATCGCAATTAGACAGCACTAATATATATATATATATATATATATATATATATATATATATAATATAAAGTTTATTATAAATATACACACAAACACATATATACATAATTTTTTTTTTTTAATTAAATCCTTACTTGTCTGGTTTATACTACTCTGAGCAATGTTTGAACTTTGTATTTTGAGCACTTCTTGTGTTGTTATTGCCTCTTCACAAACTTGTTTGATTTAGTCCTCAGATGCAAGTCACTTTGGATAAAAGCGTCTGCTAAATGACTAAATGTAAATGTAAATACAGTATATATATGAAGAGTTCGGATGCAAAAGCCTCTAAATGCCATTTGAAATTTTCTTCTAGAATATTTTTTTATCAAGCTTGTATATTAAATTTCAGTAATTTCACTTAAATGGCAATGAAGATTACCTATTAATTGTCATTCAAGTGAAATTACTGAACTTATATAAACAAGCTTGATAAAAATAATCATTCTAGAAGAAAATTTCAAATGGCACTTAGAGGCTTTTGCATCTGAACTCTTCATATATACACTTATATATATATATATATATATATATATATATATATATATATATATATATATATATATATATATATATATATATATATTTCAAATTATATTATCAGAAATGTACTTTATAGAGAGCAATACAAATAAAGCATTTCATCAATAAAAGGCAACTGGACATTTCTTACAATATCCTTATAACCATAAATGATCAAATGTTTCATTGTCCAGTGTTTTATTCAGAAAGATCCTCCATTTCAATCTACACAGGCTGCTTTCTTGCTCTCCTCCCATCATCCACTCTAGATCCAGAGTGACATTTTCCTAATTTTACAGGCCATTAGCTTCTGTCCATCTTCTTGCTTAACTCTCAGCAAACCACCAGCTCTTTCTCTCTTTCTCTTTCACTGGCCAGTGCAAAAACTCAAGACAGCAGTGCACTGCCACTGCTACATACAACTATAGCCTTTCCAGAGTGAGTAACAACATAGCTAATACAGGTTTAGTCTCCACAAGGTGACTGCTGATGGATCCCCTTAAGGTGAACATATTTAAGCTCAAAATATTATATCACATGGTGAGTATTCTGATATTAAAATCTATACTTCACAATTTATACAGCTCAAATACTCAAATAATTTTGATTGGTCTACGGCAGCCCATCCTGTGGTCTAGTAGGTGGTCAACCACTACAAAAACTTCTGTTGGGATTTCACATGGTTATCCTGGCAGCTAAACACTAATAGGTGTCAGTGAGGGCCTCAGCTGGTCTTGTTTACTCTTGTATAGATAAATGTGATCTCACCTTGTAGAGTGCGCTCAGTGGCATCTGGTCCACTTTAGCGACACCTTTGACCTCGTTTTGATGCAGGTGCTTCATCATGGGCCGATTTTCACACTTAGCAAAGTTCCCCTGACAGAGAGAAAAAAACACAAGCTGTTAACTCCAGTTAAGAGAGCACTAGATAGAAAGTACGGGTACTTGCACTTATTATAGCGGATATCATCAACTACTTGACATTACAATCCGTGTCACGTTCAAAACTTTACTATCCTATAATAAGATATAGCCTGAAACCCAGTGCGTCTAGTTTAAATCTCTCACAGTCTGAATTACTTTTGTATGGTACAGTGCATCATTGGCAATTTTCACACAGCAGCAGAAAAAAGTTGGTATAAAGGAAAATGTCAAATGCATTCTAGAAATGAAGTGACTATGACAGTAAATATAATGACTTCAGTTCAATCTATATCCAATTCTCACACAAAGTTATTGCAATGCTTCAGAAGACTAGGAATTAAACATGTGCTGATATTAAAATACTGGCTGATACCCCTAATAATTATATTCATAATAGGACCGATAAACATTAAATGGATGGTATTATTATTTTTTTATATATTTATTTATCAACTTTTTCAGGATGGTATTATTATTATTATAATATTCTAATATGTCTATAATTATTAATATGTGTAAAATTTAAAATAAAACACAAACTAAATGTTAAAATACTGACTGATACCGCTAATAACTATATTCATAATAGGGCCGATAAACAATAAACGGATGGTATTATAATATTCTAATATTTCTATAATTATTAATGGGTAAAATTTAAAATAAAACACAAACTAAATAAATATATTAAATGTACAGTATAAATAATGGATGATCATCTTAAGATTTGCTATTTAATAGTGTTATTAAATTACTAGTATTATTAGATTAAGAATCTATTAGATTAGAACTGAGTGTTAGATGCCCAGACAATAAATAAACAAATATATATATATATATATATATATATATATATATATATATATTATATATATTTTCCTTTACTGTCTGGGCATCTAACACTCTTTATATATAAAGAGAGTGTATCCATGTATGTGTATATATATATTCCGCACATATATATATATATATGAAGAGTTCAGATGCAAAAGCCTCTAAATGCCATTTGAAATTTTCTTCTTTAATGATGATTTTTATCAAACTTGTATATTTAAGTTCAGTAATTTCACTTAAATAACAATTAATAGGTAATTATCATTGCCATTTAAGTGAAATCACTGAACTTAAATATACAAGCTTGATAAAAACCATCATTAAAGAAAATTTCAAATGGCATTTAGAGGCTTTTGCATCTGAACTCTTCATATATACACACATTTTATCAATCCTTGCATTCCCTGGGAATCAAACCCATGACCTTGGTGTTGCAAGCATTCTACTCAACCATTAATGCTTTAAAAAAGACATTTTCTTCCCAACAACTGCAGTTTATCCAACAGTGGAGCAGTGCTACCATTCAGACCATATTGTCCCTTTGCTGCCTAAATGTGTGTGTGCGCAAGGATGACTGAGGAGACTTCAATTAACCCAATTCAAACAGCTCTTGCCTGCTCCAGACCGTGGCCATGAAGTGGACATGTGCAGCGCGCCATGGATGGACGGATGGGGGGGGGGGGGGTGGATCGCTGGAGCGTGAGAGGGCAGAACAGATGGAGCATCTCTGTGATGGGGGTAGGCCTCCAGGCGGGTATGACTTTAAAGTAATGAAGGGTGCAGAACTTAATCAACATATAACCCATGAGATGTGGGATGGGTCTCAGAGGGATACGAGAGAGAGAGGGGTGCCAAGAGGCTAACACGCAGACAGCACACCTGGGCTCTCAACTGTGTCTCCTGTACTCGCTCAGGTGTGCTGGGAAAATAACTAAGCCAATAAATCCAGCCCGGCACAGTCCGTGTGTAATGATCTGTGGAATAGGCTGCAGTGCACAGTAGCCATCATACACACACAGCCTTTATCATCTACACACATATTAGTGAGGCCACTAATGGATTTTTACATGGTCTTGCAAACGCATACTTTGTTTGTACACAGAAAAACATAAAGAAAATCAGGGGCGTAACTATTATTAAAACTGGGATGGACACACCCCTCCCACTTCACCCCACTTTTTTTTATTGTAAGAGGTTTTTTTGTTTGTTTGGTCGAAGTGCAAAGACAAAAATGTAGTCGGTCAAATAAAACAACAGCTTCAACAAACCCTAATATGGCTAGTGCATAGCTGTCAACATTGAACATTGAAAATAAGGGAGTTTTCCCGGAATCCATCCCCAAAATAAGGGATTTTTTTTTTTTTGCACGATTCTCACCCACAAACTTTAAAAATAAAGCACAATCCTTAAAAGTCTAAGGTGTTCATAACTAGCCTATGTGTGAGAGAGAAAGAGACAGTGTCATTTAAAGGGAAAAAAATCTACATTTGGATTAGCATGTGTTGCTCTAGCATTTGGACAACAATTTCAACATTTAGCCTATCACACATCTTCCAAAATCCGCAAAATAGGGAAGTGGGCTGTGTTTATTTTAATTACATTTACACATTTTGTGTAGCTTTAAAGAGCCTATTTAGCCTGATGGTGGACCATCACTCAGAAGACACACTATCTTTATATCCTCCTATAGGCCCAGAACGTTTTTTTTTTTTCAAGTTTTTTTTTCTTCTTCATGTAATCACATTGTTAAGAGCTTAAGAAACAAATGGAAAAAAAGAAAATATATTTTATTCATATATTTGAAAATCTATTTATAATAATTATTATTTGTTTAAATTACATTGATATCTGAATTTATGTAAAAACCTAGACTTTCAAACATCAAAATGTAATGTATTAATATGTATTCGAGTACAAAATTACATTCAGCTAGCCTAAACATTGTTTCCTATTTTTTATTTATTTTTTTGCCTGGAAACGCAAAGAAATTCCAGGCAAAGATACACGCCAGCCTGTCGCGTGAAAAATAGGCGTCAGTTCTATTTCTAGCATGCACGCGTTTTCTGGAGACGCGCGTGTCACGCAGGCAGCGTGCAATAAAAACGGACACACCACGCAGCCAGTGTCTCCGGCCAGCGCGCGCGGCACCGCATCCGAGGATAAACGACTTCAAGCCGAATCTGTCCGAGCCCGTACGTCTCACACAATCAGAGAGTAAAAATACGGTATATTTTACGGGAAAATACTCAAACGGGAAGACAGCGGGAAAAGAGCTAAAATACGTGAGAAACCCGGAAAAAACGGGAGGGTTGACAGCTATGGGCTAGTGCCCACTTGTTTTTCGCAAATCAGTTAGGAATATTAACAATACATCAGCTAATTAATATTCATGAGCCAAGACAAAAAGCCCCCTTTGTTTTTGGGGAAAATTATTTCGTTTGGCGCAGAGCTCTGGTGAAAGTCAAAGAAAATAGCTTAAGTGGCAACAAAAGACCAATAATCTCAAAATCTGATTTCCTACATCATCTCCCAAGCACCAAGATGTACTGCAACCGCTCGACGATGGTGAAGTTAAACAATGAATTGTGTTTTTGAGTTTCTCACCAGGTCCAAGTCATGAAAGTGGAGATAGTACTTTCTGACTGCTCCTTTGTAAGTCAATGGCTCCTTCCCCGGGTTATTTGGAGCGTTTTCCATGTCCTCCTCCTGTTCCTCGTCTCCAGGCCCCTCACCGGGTTCAAACTGGACCATGTCAGTCCTGTACACTGACTGTGGGGATTATGCAAAATGGTCAATGTTAATTTAAGGCTTTAATACTGCATGTAGGAATTCAATTAATGATAAAAACACTTACATATCTCCGTCGTCTGATATTGTTGGGGTCCATATCCATTTCAGGAAGCAAACTAAATAAACAATCTCCTCCATTGTCCGCAACAGCAAAAGTGTTTATCCAATCAGACATAGACAGGCTCTGAATGAGAAAGTCGTTTTGTCATTATTAGACAGTGATCATATTAAACCATGTAGAGATAATCTCGTGAAATGTCCACGTACCCAAATAGTGGCTTTTCTAGGACACACAAAGTAAGGCTTAATTCCAAGGTAACCTGAATCAAAATAATGGATTCCATGTTGCCCAAAACTACACATAGAAAAGGAAAACAAATATTTGATAAGAATATAAATACAATGCCTGACTTAAAACTTTATAATATTCAGAAGAGCAAAAATCTGTGCACTCACGTGGCAAAGCAACACTCTTGAGCCAACAGGAAGCCGCTCCAAAAGAGGGGCCAGTACACTTCAGGGGACAGGCAGCGCTTCACTGCCATAAGAGGCACGCAGGCTTTCCTCACATCCCACATTTTAGCCATGCGATCATCTCCGACTGTCACCAACAAGTTACTTCCCAACCACAGTAGATAAAAACATATGTAATTCATGTTTTTCACACCTCATCACAATTACAAACAGACCAGACATTTTAACAATATTCCCAGTAATCTTGTTCTCCATGTACACTACCAATCAGAAGTTAAAGTAAATATTGTGAAATATTTTTACTAATTAAAATAACCATTTTCTATTTGATAATACGGCATGTTAAAATCTAATTCATTCCTGTGATGTCAAAGCTGAATTTACACATCCCATGATCCTTTAGAAATCATTTTAATATGCAGATGTGGTGCTAAAGAAGGATTTCTTATAATTATCAATGTTAAAAACAGTTGTGCTGCTTCATATTTTTGTGGAAACTTTTCTATTTGAAATAGAAGTCTTTTGTAACATTATAAAAGTCTTAACTGTCACTTTGATCAATTTAACGCATCCTTGCTGAATAAAAGTTCACTTTAAAAATAAGAATAAAAATCCTTCTGACCCCAGATGCTGTCCTCTGAGCATCTGGACAGTAAAAGGGCAGAAGAGACAGCTGACCCCCCCCCCCAAATAAAACCCTCCGGCTTGAATGCTTCAAATTGGGTGCATGGTACGACTGCTCGTTTATAGTAAAAACCATAAACACGATTATTTTTGCTCAATATTGAAATCATGATTCAGTCATTGATGAGTCATTGGAATTATCAGTGAAATTTCACAATAATTAGACTTTTTTTACTTTAGCAAAAACTAATACTAGGCTAACGAGTGTAAGAAAAAGACAACATGCACAGTTAAAATCCAAAGTTTGGGCTTTGGGACAATAATCACTTTACCTCGATTATCTTGTTTTCGTTATCGTTGGAAGCCAAAATCGAAATCATTTCCGATTAATCGCACAGCCCTAGTGCATGCATACAAATTCTAATCTTTAAAACATTTTAAGTGTATCTGAATTCTACATGAGCAGTCACATTTAAAGAGCCTAAAGCACAAGAAAACTAAAATAAAAGCACAAGAAATCTCCACTTGATTTAACTAGCCTCTAGGGCAGAGGGGATAGGGTGTCATTTTCCAAATGAACTTCTCTAATGCTACTTACAGCAGTCTTTTATAAGGTCACAGAGCTCTTTGAATCGAAACAGGCTGTTAAAACTACTGATGCTGAAACAATGTGTGATGCTATATGATGAGATATATTTGATCTAGACTGCTTCTCTGTTGCTAAATGAGAAAACTCCATGGGTGGGCTCATCACAAAATACAACACAAATACCAATGAAAAAAACTGGATACTAGAATTTCATTTAAATGATAGCCAAGTCCACACCTCGAGGCTTTGCACCAGCTCAGAGTTCGGATGTTCTCGTCGTGGGCATGAAAACAGTGGTAAGGGAAGAGGGACACAACTCCATCGGGAGCCTTGACTCTCAGTAGTGTAGACTTGCTAGCAAGATCCCACAAACCAACCAGACCTGGAAAAGAGGAAGTGAAGTGAAACATCACACACGTAAAATATTGCGACATAAAGAAACAAAGATATTCACATTTTTACAATTCTCGTTAGAAGAAAAAAATTGACCTATAGTCAAAACATATTAAATCACCATCATAGAAGCCAGCTGCCAAAAGGTTATGTGGCTTGACATGGAGCCAATCCATAGCAAAGCACAGGCCACTTTGACCTTTATGATCTGCCTGGTTGGAGCCCATTTTCACACAAAGCGTCTTCTTCACCTGCAAAAACACACCATCATAAAACAGGTCATATATGATCTAGAACACTTCCTCTATCTGTAATAATTACAAAATTAATGGTATACATAATTCAGGGTTCCAGCTTTTTCCAATGTTTTTCCATGATTACCACGTATACATTTCCTACATATTTTATAAAGTAAAAAAATATATAGTGTATTACATATATAATACACAATGTTTTTTTATGACAATGCAAAATATTAGTGCAAAAATAGTGCATCCATTTTTAAGCAGTGCTAAAATATTTAAGATGCTCTAAATTATACAAAACGGCTAGAAATTATGTATTTTTTATTTCTAAAATTCTAAAATTTAATTCTAAAAATACATTTCTAGCTGTTTTTTTTAATATTTTAGCTCAAAGCACAGCTTAAAAAAATGTTTATGCACAATTCCCATTTATATAAAATATACAAAAATGCATAGAAACAACCCACTATATAGAACTATGTTTATGAAAATATTATTACGATTTAATATTTACACAAATTTTCACAGTTTTAATATTTAACAGTTTAATATTTGCTCAATAGTTCTATAAAGCAATTTCCTTCGACCCTTATCCAAAAAAAAAAGTTTAGATTAATCCATCACTCTACACTTAACACTTAGTTTGAGAAGGTCCTTCTACCATGACAGCTAATTTCCAAAAGATCATCTCTTGGATGCTTGAAAATGTTACATAGACGGCCCATAAAATGGCCGAGAGGAGCCATAACCAGAACAGTTTTAGTGAAAAACCACTTCAACTGTGAAATTAAGCTACAGTGAAAATGACACGTCAGATTCAAGCAAGCATTCCAATGATCTCTTACCATTCAGTTGCTTTAGGTTTGATGCAATGACTGTGTAACACAGTATGTTTTTTAATGTGTGTGTGTGAAAGAAAGACTGAGGTCTTATCTGTGAAAATAAGAAGCATGCTGGCAGAGAGTGGATATTGACCTACCCGGCATATCAGCGGTGCTTGGCTGGTTTCTCCTATTGGAAAACACATAAATGTGTTCAATGTGCTTATAGATAGGAGCATTACTATTCAACACATGACTGCATTTATCAAGAAAAACAATCAAAGGAACAAGGATGTGCTTAACTGAAATGTAGAGTATAAACAAGCAGCAATTTAATAATGTCATCATTTAAAGAGTTCAAATACAGTGCATTTTATTTTTTATAGTTTTTGTTCTGCATTAAAAAGTCACAATTTAGTTTTCATCACCATTTTCCACTTGCTCTCCTGTACTATTACAATCAAATGAGCTGTTTTCGGTATAGCTGTAGAGGTTGTGCTTTTATTTAAAAATAAATAATACTTAAGAAAAATAAATCTATTAATCTACAAAAAATCCAATCAGGGTTTCTTGAACAAAAAATGAGAACGGATCTACAAGCTCTTTAAACTGCGATTCATATTCTCATTAAGCAGAGAATAAAAAAAGAGAAGTGCTAAAGGTGGTGAATGGAGTCACGTGTATGAAACTGTGTGTCTGTGCGCATGTACAGAGTGTGTGTATGGAAGTAGAGTGCAGAAGTGATATATTGCCGCATGGCTTCAGGTCGGAGCCGTACAGAGAGGTGGACGGGTCGATCAGGTCGATAAAGCATCGCACCTCCGATGCACTCATTCAGACAGCCCTGATCACGGGCCCTTTCTCCAGGCTGACTAAGGTATTTTTGATTGACAGGCCAGGAGGAAACGGGTGTCAGGTATGCGGCTGAAATTCATGGCCTCAAACACTAACAACTGTGTAGCGATGTATCTTTTTTGTCATTTCAATTATAGATCCTTGTCTGATGAAAACAAGCCAGTAAATTATCTCCATTGAGAAGGGAGGAGTCAGCGTCTCTCTCGTCACCTTTTGCCGGACACCTTTTCACTCCACAAAAAAACGTATTTGTAATTATCCAGCATAAACCTTCCAAACCCGAGAAACCATAAATGGAAAGTGGTTAACTGTTTTATCACTAGATTTTTGAAACTTGTCCTGTAATTTCTACTGCGAGTCCCTTTCAAAACAATGGACAATCCAATAATCAATCTACAGTACGAAAAGGTTCAAATGAATGGTCATGTGATATAATAAAATTAATGGCATGAAATTAAAACAAAATGTTTAATAAACACAAACTCAAAGTAAAATAAAAAACGAAGAGAAAAATAAGGAGATGTAGAAAAACAAATGAAGCAATAAAAAACTACATTTAATCTAATATATAAAAAATATAATAATAATTTATAATAAATTTGAATTTATTACAGAATAAATAAACAAAATATGAATAAATAAACACCTAAATAAAAGGACAATAAAGACAATATAAATTAAACTAATAAAAGGACAATAAAAACTGAATAAAAAAATATAAAATGACAATATAAACAAAAAACATTAAAACAAAATTAAATTACAATAAAAACCAAAAACCAAAATGAACACAATAACCAAACCAATAAAAACAAAAATAAAAAGTAATTTTCCTTAATAAATAAATATATAGTAAATAACAAATATCAACTAAATATGAATAAATTACCTAAAAAAATATAGACAAAAAACAACAAAAAGCATATATATATATATATATATATATATAAATAATTTATAAATATAAATTAAACATAAATAAAATAAATAAAAACAACGAAAGTAAATATATATATATATATATATATATATATATATAATAAAATAAAAAAACAATTAAAAACCTTTTAAATATAAAAACAAAACAAAAATATTTTGATTTTCATTTATATGCACAATGTCTCCCAACATACTCACTCCAACACACACACACACACACACACACACACACACGCTCGAACGCACACACAAGCCAAAGAGCAGGTCTGAGGTCTGACAGAAGGATTGTGTGTTCAGTAATGAAGGTTAATTCCCTGAGGGATCCAAAAGTTCTTGGCCAGAGCTGATTGCCGGGTCACTGACCAAAGACTCCAGGAGGGAGAGTCCAGTAAGAACCACAAACAGCCATGAACAGTGCCTCAACAAAACAGTTTCCAAAACCAGTGTGGAGATGTTAGACTGGTGGAGTGTGAGTAATAACCTCCGGAAAATACAAGAGCGAGAGAAGGAATAGCTTTGTAAAGGTCATAGAGCACTTCTTTTAGCTGAACAATATCCAGGCATTCCTTCAGAATTTACAACACAGAGAAATAAAATGCGAGTGGTGCAGTACATAACCAGTACATAACCATGAGTGATACACATTCAACCAGGATTATGGATTAACCAGGATTACTCAACTTGAAGAAGAATTAACGTTCCCTAACAGCTTCAGTCCTTTGAGAGAAAGAGGTCTTTAAAGAAAGCATTTGTTACATCCGAACAGTTCTTCTGGCCTCAGGAAAGTGTAATTAAGAAAGCATTAAAGCTTATGGTAGGATCGATGAATTAGAAGCTTGCAAACAGGGAGAATAAGACACTGGCAGCACTGAAGAAACAGAGACGGTTCATTAAAGAACGTGGGCAGTTGGCTTCTTATCTCCACTGGAGCAGGGCCCAAATCTACCACACCGAGGGCCCCTGAGGGACCAGACGGACTGACCATATCACTACTCAATAACTAGAGACACCTAGTACAAAAGCTGACTGTCTAAATGATAAATAGTGAGGACGGCCATGAAATTGCCTGTTTACTTAGTGTATTAAAGTAAGTGGAAAAGTCCATTAATTCCATTAAAATTGTAGGATTTTAATAGGAAGCCCCATTTGAATATTTATTTCTTGATCAAATTCAATTTTATTTAAATATATATATATATATATATATACACACACACAACTGTTCAAAATTTTGGGGTACATTTTTTCATGTTTTTGAAATAAGTCTCTTACCCCTCCAAGTCTGCATTATTTGATCAAACATAAAACATACTTTAAAATGTAATTTATTTCTGTGATGTAAAAGCTGGATTTTCAGAATCATAACTCATCATTTTAATATGCTGATTTGCTCATCAAGAAATAGATAAAATTCCTGAAAATAAATAAAGTACTTAAACCAATTGCTCAGGAACACTTGTCTCACAGTGGATTCGAACCCGGGTCTCTCACACCACCAAAGGCATGCGTCTTATCCACTGAGCCATCACCACCCATTTCAGGTTAATAATATTTTCTATCCCCTAACCCAACTCCTATCCATAAACCAACCCATCACAGAAACACGTGCAAAACACTAGATTTTAATAAAAACGTGTTTCAACAAGTGAGGACCAGTAAAATATCCTCAAAAGTCGGTTGTCATAATATATAACCATAAGGAGTACATTTGGACCTCACAACAACATACAGTAGCTAAACCTGTACCTGTACACACACACACACACACGTTTTTTCTTGTTCTCTCTCTGTTTCTAGTTATTTGCTGGCATCATTCGTGAGTCAAAAGGATCTTTATAATTCAACCAAGTCTGTATATAATACCTGTAGAAAGCCGTCTGTTAACAATCCCATTCAGTGTACGCAATTTGTATTCTGTGACAGCAAAATACAATAAAATGCTTGCTAAACATTTTTCATGCAAAGATTTTCATTTAGTCATAAAGACTAACATCTTTGAATAGTGATTGGAAAAATATAATTTTTGCTTACAGTATGGTCAATAGCTCATAAAACAGACTCGGCTATGAGGAGCGGTTTAACTGTAGACAATACGACATAACGCTGGTGTGAAAAGGGGGGCCTCTAATCAAACAGCGGTGGACTCTTATAGGCACTAGACCCTCCCTCCTTTTTCCTAGCTCTCTCACTGTGACCGTGATGAATGAGAAGCCCTGGGAGGGTAATCTTTTGCAAACACACACACTCAAACAGTACAGATAATGTGTTTAAGAGAATAAAGAAAGGAGAAAAACAGGGAATGATGCAGTGAATGACAGGTCATCAGTCTGTTCCCAGCACTCCCCGAGGAGAGGACATTACGAGCTCCCAAGGGACAATCAGCCTACGCTGGCCATTTTATCAGTGAATGTGGCATTAAGATGGGCAATGAAATAAAATAACATCCTACGATCGACATTTAAGAGCCTGGATACCTGAAATATTTGTTTGAAAGCCTGTAGTAAAATACCACACCTTGACTAAAATTGTAAATTTACTTACAGGGTAAAATAATAATAATTGTTATTATAATTCATTAATGAATTAAAGGGGTAGTTCACTTTTTAAAAAAAACTTTTGCTGATAATTTACTCACATTGAAAATTTTTGGTTTTGGTGAAAACATTCCAGGATTTTTCTCCATATAATTTACGTTACTGGTAACCAAACGGTTCAAGGTCCAAAAGACAGTTTCAGTGCCAACGAATCTTTTTCCGAGTCAATTCGTTCATTTTGTTTGTTGAATGAACCAAATGACTCGAAAAAAGATTCGTTCCTTTTGATAAACGAGTTCGAACAGGAGAGTCACGAAAGCGCATCACAGAACAGAGCAAGGCGAGCATTTGAGCTTATAAAACTTAAACTTTGTTATTTATTTTTTTAAATGAGTGATCGTTTCACTTGATAAGACCCTTATTCATCGCCTGGAATCGCTTAAAGCCCTTTGAACAGTTAGCAGTTTCCACTGAAACTGTCTTTTGGACCTTGAACCGTTTGGTTCCCATTGAAGTCCATTATATAGAGAAAATCCTGGATTGTTTTCATCAAAAACCTTAATTACTTTTCGACTGAAGACAGAATGACATGGATATCTTGGATGACATGGGGGTGAGTAAATTATCAGCAAAAGTTTTTTTTTTTAAAGTGAACTACTCCTTTAATAGACAGATGAAATCAAACAATTCCATTATTATTTCAGTAAATTTAGTTTGTTCTGTTCTGTTTTCCAATGTAATAAAAATTAAGAAAAAATATCATGCGATATAGATTTGATTGATAGTTTAGTTTGTTTAGTGCTAGTAAGAAAAAAGCATTATAGCACTTGGCTTGGGACTCTTCTGTCTTGTACTGTCCTCTTCTGGAAGGATCAAGACATTGCACATGAAGTCACTGGGTGTTTCTAAATCATGAGTGTCTAATCAGGAATGGCCACCTTCCATCAGAGTCTATCCTCAACCCGAATTAAACATCTGAACAAGCTAATCGAGGTCTTTAGGAGCACTAGAAACTTCTAGAAAGGTGTGTTGAAGCTAAACGCTAGGGGAAGTTGGCCCTCCCGGAGCAGGATTGGACACCCCTGTTCTTAAAAACAGTCAATTGTCACACAGAGAGAGTGTTAAAATAGTCCTGACAAACTAAACATTGACTGTCCTTTGCACAAGTATTTTAAGTGGACCTGATTTGACCCCGTTAAAGAAATGCATTTACCCATTCTCTTACCTTTACTTTGATGGTGTGCTGCAAGGGCTTCTGGGTGTGGAAGACTGTAGACACCGATGGTTCCATTAGAGAAAGCTGCTGCTAGAAGACCTAATCTAGGCATTTGTGGTGCCTGACAAAAACGAAAACACATTTACATCAATGTCCACTACAATCACAATCAAAAAAAGATCACCAAAAAGTATTAAGAAGAATGTTTTCAAAAACAATTAATTTGAAAGCATTATTTTAATACATTTTTGTTCAAAACAAAAAAAAAATTTTCTCTTTTAATGGTACACTACGTAACATTCGGCCCTCTAGCGGTTAAAAAAACAAAACTGAAAGCATTTTGCGGAAGTACATTGTTTTGGTTGTGTGACTAATTATGACCTATTCGAAAAGACAAGCCAATGTTGACTCATTTTATTACAAGCTCTGTCGCATTCTCGTTTGCCAGCAGAATCTCCTCTGTTCCCCGGAGATTTGAGATTTAGCGGCTCCATGTCAACCTTTCTCGCTCATTTCGATAACTAACCTCTGCCACTCCCACACCAAACACTCGTCAAAGTAGCCGTTTGATAGCTTTTCTCTAAAAAAAAAACAGTCTATACCTTTAAATTTTCTTAGACTATTTAGTCTAATGTCATTTCTTACCTTTCTGTTGGTGGAGGGCAGCTCCCACACTCCTGCAGGACACCACTTTATATTCCAGATGCATCCGTCATCGATCGCTAGAGCATATGCTAGATGAGGAGCAGTTGAGGGCCTAAAGTGGGAAGATAAGAGTGCCAGAAATTACTATTTTATTTTAAGCTCAACACGCCATTAATATTTCCTTAAAGCCAATCTGTAAGTGCCTTATCTTGGTCACCTTCTTTTACACTGAAGGTCTCCGATGTCCCACAGCTGCAGTAAGGCAGGACCTGAGTACAGGTTGTTGATTTTGTGTTTGTCGTCCATGCCTTTGTGGCAGTAGATGGCGGCATACTGTCTTTTTGCTGCCCCGTCAGGACATGGGCACCACTCCATGGACCGCACAGGACCCCCCACAAAGAACAGAGTGTCCCAGCGCTCAGAATGATGTGGCAATGATTCAAACCTGAAGACAGTTTTCATGAGAGCAGATATACACTTCCATTAAAACATTTGAGGTCATTTTTTAAAAAGAAATGAATACTTTTATTCTGCATTATTCCGAATTTGATGTTTTTTAAATGTTCTATTCATCAAGGAACACTGAACCTTTTCACCGTTTGCAGTTTGATCCGTCCCTTGATTTTTTCCCGAGTAAAGGTAAAAGAGGCAGATTCTTTCTCTTGCGGTAAATATTTTTCAGCCTCACTGTTAATCAAAACAAACACCTGTTATGAAAATTGCTTTGTTTCCATAGATATTATGTGGGATTTACCTATACTAATACCTGTTGGACAGGAAATGCCAATCTTTGGCAGAAGGAATCCATTCAGGAAACACCCAGGGGGAAAAGTATTCATCCCGGCTAGCATTTAATAAAAGAAGGAAAAGTAATTTAAAGATACAAGTGATACCGATATTATAAATCGCTAAAATGGCAATTCTTACATAATCTTGTGGAAAGTGTATAGCTTACAATGATTTGGTCCTACTAAAACAGTTCCAGACAGGCTCCATCACATTGTTAGCCAAGCCATTTGAAAGCAGACACTGCTGATGAGCAGCACATAATTAAGAAATTAGACCACACAGATATGGAAATCGATGTCAATAACAGACTAAAGAGTATTGGACTATAAACTCACATAGTTTCCTCTGGGTGGTCTGCTTTTAGCACTGCCTCTGGGTGGTCTTGCTTTTTCCACGTTCAAGCTGAAGTCTGGCTCTGAATCTTCTTCCTCTTCACTCTCTGCCGCTTCATCCTTTCCTGGGGAAAAATCCTCATCATCATCTAAGTCGCTGTCAGACTCTGGAGTTTTCCTTTTCGTCCCCCTTCTCTTTGCTGCATTCGTTTTCCGGGAGGTGCTGTTCGCTTCACCAGATTCGGGCCTATCTTTTGTTGATTGAGTCCCGAGATCCTTGGCCAGCTTGTGAAGATAATCTAAAGCACTGACAAAAAACAGATTTATTAGCTGTCTGGTTACTGACATTCTTTAAAATATCTTCCTTTGTGTAGAGCAGAAATAAGAAATTAATACAGGGTTGAAACAACTTTTCGGGTGAGTAAATGGTGACAGAATTTTTAATTTTTAAGTGAACTATTCCTTTAAGCCAGAATTAGACCTGAGTTCAGTTAGAACATTTAAGTACTTTTTATAAAAATAAACATTACTGGTGTGCATCTTGAGATAAAACAAGTTGTTTTCAATAGCTCAATGGTAAGCATGTTGGTTACGCAACGTGGAATAACCAAGTTCAAGTCCTGATCAGAACACTTCGTTTGACCATTGATTTTTCTAGAGCAAGATATACTTAATCCAGCAATATATACAGTATACTATCCATTCATTTAATCTATACATGCTATATAAATATGTGGGAAACTGCACAAAACTGGAGAGCATACACTTTAGCAGCTCTCCTCTTGGGCCGACCACTAGCAGTGAGTTCAGAAGTGTCAGAGATTGCTGAATTGTCATGTTGTGGTGGTGTCTGTTGAATAATCTCCTTTCTCCTCCTTTTGACAGGAGTCTTTGCCTTAGAACCTTGATTCTTCTGGGTTCCTTCTGTATTAACTGGGCTTTCCTGGTCCACATCTGGGGGAACCTGGGAGGTCAGACCTAGAAAAGAAAGTAACAATAAAAGATTCATGAACGCAATTAGCAATTAGATCCATTTTTGAGTACGTATTGAGTACATAAAATGATCAAATGAACTTGGTTTTCCTCTAATGACAAACTAGTCATACAAGTGCAACTAAAACTAATACCATAAAAAACATATTTGTAAGTTGAAATAAAATAAACATTGAATACTGAAATAACACACTTACCAGACATTTGCATCTCCGACTTCATGTTTTGCGGCTCTGAGTCCTGAGTAGCTCCTTTACTCTCCTGGTTAATCTGTCCTGGTTGGTTATCTGTGTCCTTTTCACACGGCAAACCCATTTTTTCACCTTTCTGCTCGCCCAACTTCAGGGCAGCTGCTGCCATTAATACCCGTTCTTTCACAGAACCACTCCGAGCTCAGTCTAGAAGTAAAGAAATGTGTTGATGTTATATACAATGGTTTAAAATCAAATAAAAGTGTACAAAAATAAAGTATGAAACAAAAAATATATAGGCAATAAGTAAGCTCAAGCAACATTTCATCAATTACCATAATACATATTTAAAAACATGGCATTGTCAAAGGCATCATGCATTTTTTGGTACTATTTTGTTAGTGTTGTGTAGTATTAGAATTTAATCAAATGTGTAGAAAATAGCATATAAAATAAAAAAAACATAGACATTAAAAACATGTTCAAGCTACATTTCATTAAATACCATGATATTACAGAAAATGCATGTCCAAGAACCATGGCATTGTCATGGCATCATACACTTTGCTGGTACTATTCTGTTAGTGTGACACTAAAATTAAAATTATACAGGCAATATAAACAAAATCAGAAAATTCAATACCAAAACCAATACATAGACTTTCCTGGTACTTTTTTTGTTTGTATGATACTAAAATTGTTCAGAAATAGTAATCCACGCATGCGCAAAGTACCGATGACAGGCGACTTGCCAACACAACATTGAGCTTAACGTTACTCAGGTTATGTCGAACAATAATTACTCAAGTAATTTAAATCTAATACAAGCAAAATAAATTATTAAATAACGTTACATTTGAAATTAAATTGTAAAAAGTTCAAAACTGCTTTTAAATAGCACGTTATATAGGCTAACGTTACTGCCTTGAGTTGATGGATGTTCCTTGTCCTTCAGAAGTCCATTATATTCCAAAAAAACAACAACTTTATAATAAGAACCCCTTACTTCCATAAAGCACAGGAAAGACATGGGCTTTTTCTCTGCACTGACAGCTTTTAACAGTGGCTCAGGCTGATCGTCCACTCTTTCCTTCAACTACACGGTCTGCGATTCACGCGGGTTCGAATCCAAGTCACCGGACACAATGAAAGATTCACTGCCGTCAGACGCCCGCTGGGTACAATCTCTGGCGGATCCCGGTTTAAATTAAAACACTAGTATTCAAATGTGCCGTGCAGAAATATGCTGATTTTCTAGGAAACTCCTCAGCTAAAGCATTTTGACATATTAGCTAGCCGCCGCCATGTTTTAAGGGTCGCCCATGACCTCGTTTGCTCACTACCGCCCCCTATCCAACACTGACACCAGAGAGGTTTTAAATATGTGCGTGATCCCACCTGACCACGAGGTGGTGTCAATGTGGTCAAGCACAGTAGAGTGCCTACTGCCATATGTACACGTGCACGCTTTTACAAAAACAACACACACAGCACACACCTTCCTCTTTCAAATCTTAAAATGTATGCATAACAAGAAAGTTGTTCTGAAAACAAGAAAATCTTCTGGAGGTGTATTTAGATGTTTAATCATGTGAATTTTTTGAGTTGTATTCATTTGACATTTTATAGTAATTATGGTTTTAATGGATATGCTGTGTTTTTCTGTTTTCTATTTTGTTTTTGTTTACATGGTTTGAAATTCATTCAAGCGAAAAAGAAAAAATCCCCACATAGGTAGGCCTAAACACACACACACACACACACACACACACTTGTGGTTTATGGGGGCATAATGTTTTTTACACTGTACAAACAGTAGGCTATTATATCCCCTTACGTTAACCACAAACTTATCCATCACAGGAAACATTTTTTTTAATTCAAAAATTGCTAAAACTCACACAAAATAGTCACAAGCAAACATGTAATCATTTATTGACTTGATTAGTGTTAAGCACATTCACACTGTTAAAGAGGATTAATCCTACATATTTTACATTTTACGACATTTTTACTTTGTGCATATGTATGGTCCGTGTAACGCTTCACAATTCAATTTTAGGACCATAAAATGCAAATGAAAAAATGGAAACCAGACATTCATTTTTCTTGTTTTTCCAGTTGCATTATCAATGTTGCCCTTTTATCCCTTTTTTCAATTTTACTTGTGCTAAATTGTGACTTCAGAAACAAACATTTGAGTTAATGAAATCTAACTGATTTTTTGAATGGATGGGTGGGTGGGTGGATGGATGGATGGATCATTACAACACAAAAGACTAAATTTTATCCAACGGCTTGCAGTTTCCACATCCCTAAAGCTAGCTAGGGACATGGAAACTGCAAGCTGTTGGATAAAATGTTGTCTTTTGTGTTGTAATGGTCTATACTAGTAGCCGCAGGGTGACTGGGCAATCCCTTAGAGATAGGGTGAGAAGCTCGGTCACTCAGGAGGAGCTCAGAGTAGAGCCGCTGCTCCTCCACATCGAGAGGGGTCAGCTGAGGTGGTTTGGGCATCTGTTCCGGGCATCTCTGCTTAGACTGCTGCCCCCGCGACCTGGTCCCGGATGAGCAGAAGAAGATGGATGGATGGATGGCTTGCAGTTTCAGGTCACAGATTACTTGTGTTCATAGCTTGCGCTCACCGTCAGCCCTGCCGAGCCAGTGTCTAAGGACAAGATGGCGCCTCCGAACCAGTGTCTAAGGACAAGATGGCCGATTCAGAGATTCTTCATGTTACTTCTGTCAATTCAGAGATTGTTCACGTCACCGCCTCCAAACCAGTGTCTAAGGACAAGATGGCCGCCTCCAAGCCAGTGTCTATGGACAAGATGGCCGATTCAGAGATTCTTCATGTTACTTCTGTCAATTCAGAGATTGTTCACGTCACCGCCTCCAAACCAGTGTCTAAGGACAAGATGGCCGCCTCCAAGCCAGTGTCTATGGACAAGATGGCCGATTCAGAGATTCTTCATGTTACTTCTGCCAATTCAGAGATTGTTCACGTCACCGCCACCAAGCCAGTGTCTAAGGACAAGATGGCCGCCGCCGATCCAGTGTCTCCGGACAAGATGGCCGATCCAGTGTCTCCGGACAAGATGGCCGATCCAGTGTCTGTCCTTGTGACCATTTATGTTCCAGTGTCTGTTCCTGAGCCTGTGTCTGGTCTAGAGCTGGTGTCTGGTCATGAAAGGGCATCACCGCCGTGGCCTCCCGAGGGGTCTTCACCGCCGTGGCCGCCTGAGGGGTCTCCACCACCGTGGCCGCCCGCACAACCTGCTCCGCCCGCTCCGCCCTGGTTGCCTCCACAGCCTGCTCCACTGCAGTCTCCAGGTCCTCTTCCGCTCCACGGGCCTGGCCCTCCATCCCGCCCCCAGGTCCGCCTCCGCTCCACCTCCCTCCTGGACATTTTTGAGGAGCATCTGGAATCCGCTCCTTAAAGGGGGGGCATTCATTTGCATTTTATGGTCCGAAAATTGAATTTGTGAAGCGTTACACGGACCATGTATGCATGTATATTTCAAAGATTCTGTTTTCATAAAGACAGATGTGGTTTTCTAAAATTTAAAAGAGATTCGTGTCTTACAAAAAATAATGATGTATCTCTGTAAACAAGCTCATTTTGGGTCCTTTTAATCAACACAACAGTTTCTGAACTAATTTTCTTCCCCTAGCATCCAGGAATACTTCTTCTAAAGCACAATGTAACTTAATTCTGAAAGGCTAATGCCGCAGATTACCATCAGAATCACACTTAATATCACAAAAACAGCAGCATTCATGAACATTGTAGCATGCATCTGTTTCAATAAGTCGGTCACTGGTCTAGTGCAAAAATAGATATACTTACTTAAAATATTTTATTCCAAAAATGAAATAAATAATAAAGTCAAATGGTGATATTACTTTCTATAAGAGAAGTTTGCTGTGGCCCTTTCAATATATGAAGCTCTTCCTGTCAATAAAAAGGGAAACACAATTCTACATCCTACAAGTACAAACACTACCGTTTGCATTTATTGGAGTTAATATGATTTTTTTTCTCTTTTTTTTTAAAGAAAACAATACTTTTATTCAGCAAGGAGGCATTACATTGATCAAACGTGACAGTAAAGACATTTATAATGTGCTGATCTTTTGAGCTGTCTATTCATCACATAAAAAAAGAGAAAAAAAGTTGATAACGAAAAATGTTTCTTGATCAGCAAACCAATATATTAGAATGATTTCAGAACGATCATGTGACACACTGAAGACTTTAAAATTCAACTTTGCCATCACAGGAATAAATTATATTTTATAATATTTTAAATAGAAAACAGTTATTGTAAATTGTAATAATATTCCCAATATTATTATTTTACTGCATTTTTGATCAAATAAATACAGGCTTGGTGAGCAATTGATAAGAGATGATTCATTTCAAAACCATAAAAAAAAAAAAAATCTTACCGACCCCAAACTTTTGAACGGTAGTGTGTCTCTTTATTCTTTGGAGGTAAACAGGAGAAGTTTCATTTTGTAAAAGGAGCAGGAATGATTTATGAATGAACTCCAGGTCTCTGGCTGGACGCAGGCTTTGCGAGGGGCCTTCTGAGGGCCCATTGGTCCTCTGACTCGCTGCTGGAGCTCTCGCTGCTGCTGCTGCCGCTCGGACTGTCACTGCCGCTGAACTCATAGCAGTCTTTCACCTGTCTGCTTTCTTCCTCCTTCCTTCTGTTTTGGCCCTCCTTCCTCTTTATTTCCACTCTTCCAGGGGTTGCGGTTCCACTTGACGTGGGCATCGCTGACGTCTGTCTGTCCTGCCAGGTGTTGGATACCTGGGGAAAACTGAGGGCTGGATCTGGTGAGGGAAGGTCTGGAGGCTTCATGGAATCTTCCTTCAGCTGAGTCTTATGCAGTTTATCTAACTTTGAACTCTTAGACTTGGAGCGAACAACAAACCAGTCCTGTGTAAAATGATAACAGTGAAAATATTTGTTATGAAATGTATTGAGGAGCATGCAATTAAAAGGATTGTGTTACTCAGTATTATGCTGAATACTCATTTACCTGAGAATGAATGGAATTGATGTGGTACTTGACTCCGCTTTCAGAGTTGAATTCTTTCTTACATATCAAGCATTTATACTTCCCAGTCTCAAATTCACCCTGCAGAGAAGAGAAAAAAACTTCATACCTTCATAAATGAATGATCCAATTATGATCCAAATCCAATTATGAACAAGAAAAAAAAATAAACAAGAAAAATGATTATTAGAAAAACATTGATTCAGGTAATAAATAAAAAGGCAATAGTCATTTAGTTTCAATTAAACTGCAGTGCAGATAGTTAAAAAATGCACTCAAAAGTTTGGGTTTGGTAAGATTTCATTTCCCTCAGAAAGGATTTATTAAATTGATCAAAAGTGACAGTAAAGATATTAATAATGTTACGGAAGATTTCTGTTTCAAATAAATGCTGTTCTTCTGAAATATATATATTTAATCCAGAAAAAAAGTATCATAAAGTATCTATGTAATGATAATTATGTATACTTATAATTATTTTTCTTGTTTGATACTTTGATAATAATAATAAATGTTTCTTGAACAGCAAAACAGCATATTAGTATGATTCCTGAAGGATCATGTGACATTGTAGACTTGAATAATTCAGCTTTTATATCACGGGAATAAATTAGTTGCATTTTAAAATATATTAAAATAATAAATACAAATAGTTATTTTAAGTTGTAAAAATATTTCAGAATATACTTTTTTACAGTGTAAAAAAATAACAACCACATACCGACACCAAATATTTAGTGTATAGCAGTGAATAGTATTGCGGCAATAAGAATTTATTCCATTTAATATAACAAATATCCTGTAATGTAAGCTCTAAGCAGTATGTACATGTCTTAAAACAAAAAGGGAAGTCATTCCTACCAAGGTACATAACCCAAGATGAGCCTTTAGACCAGACACGCTGGTATAGAAGCAGCCACATCCCTAAAATGACAACACAGATCACATTTGGTACAGCAAAACCAATCATTCACTAAAAATCTTTCCTTTTGCATAATGCTACATTCATGCCACCAATGCAAATCTTGAATGAACACAATGATGAAAACTTATGGAACAATGCATGATGCTCACACCTTGTTGGGACACTGCACTTTTTTATGCAGTTTGACTTCATTCTTCCACTTCCGAAGAGTCTCCTGGCTGAAGGCAGGCAACCCTGGACGAGAATACTTCAGCTACAAGAACAAAAAAATACCATAAATGGCTACAAAAATTAATGAAATGAAAATGGTCATTCACAGTCCTGTCAGGACATGGATGTTCAGCAGCACCTTCCTGTCGTCTGGTACCAGGTCACGCTGGACTTTCCTTTTGGGCCACTCCTTCAGCAGCTCCTCACTGGCGATCTCCCTCAGGTGGAACACGGCCACCTGCGCCGACAAGCGTTTGGCCCGTCCGCTCGGTGTACGCTCTGGGACGGGCTCTTTCTGTGTCTTTGCTTCCTCTACTTCAATTTCTCGGTCCGGCTGTAACAGATAATGCTGTCTTATTTGAAGAAACTTCAACAGCCTGAATGAGAATCAATCATGTCAGAACAGATAAATGTTTAATTATACAATTGAACTGAATGATGGGTAGGAAGACTCACCGGACCGTGCTCGTTCTTGAGGTGGTACTCCAGACCCGCTCTAGAACGATACGCTTTTCCACAGTGCTTGCAGTTCATTAAGAGTTTCTCCAGTTCTGACGCCTCTTTGCCACATTTCTTCATATGATACACGTAACCCATTATACTAGTAAAACTTCCAGTGCAACCCTAAAAAAAAAAAACATTCATTTAAGACAGTAATTCTGAACATCCACAATACTATATAGTCATTATTTTAATATACATGACTATTTTTATTTATTATATTTTTTTATATTTTCCACTTTTTCTCTACTGTTGAGTCGATAAGATTTTTTTTGGTAAGAATTATCGTGCTTAGCAAGGCGGCATCTAAAAAATACAGTGAACGAGTAACATTGTGACTATTATTACTAATTAAAATAACTCTTTTCTATTTTTTTTCTTGTTATGGGGAAGTAGAATTTTCAACATCATTACTCCAGTCTTCAGTGTCACATGATCCTTCATTAATAATTCTAATATGATGATTTGTTGCTCAAGAAGCATTTCTTAATATTTTTAATGTTGAAAACAGATTTTAAAAATATGAAAACATATTTTTTTGATTTAAAAAAAATGTTTTTATGTTTTATATATTTTATGTTTTTCATAATGTATTGTTTACCATGATTAATTACAGCATTTATTTGAAATATAAATCTTTTGTAACATTATAAATGTCTTAACTGTCACTTTTGATTCATTTAATGTGTCCTTGTTAAATAAAAGTATTTTATCTTTTATTTAAAATAAATCTTACTGACTTCTTACACTTTTAAACTGTCATGTCCTTTATTTTAATTTTCTTGTTTATTACTAATACCTTTCAATTTTTAATATGGTGACCTGTACTTTAAATGATGATGATGATAATAATAATAATAATGTTTCATTTTTAAAGCATCTTTCCTAAGCTCAAGGTTGCTGTACAGGTATAGTATTTTGTATATATACTATAAAAAATAAAAATTATGTTTTATGCTAAATGTTCCATGCAGCGCTGTATCAGTATCAAATTATTTTATTACATTTTAATTATAAAATATGACCACACCTCTTTTGAACATTTTAATTTCCCCATCCTCTTTAGTACTTTCCGTAGTTTCTCCTTCACTGCTTGGTCAACTAGGTCATTCCCAGTATCTGGAATGGGCTGAAAAAAACAAAAAGAAAATAATCTTGAAATCAACACTATCACCCTTTTCATTGTCAATGTTGCTCTATATATACGTATATAAAAACTAACCAAGTTGTTGTGGTCAGCCATGAGGTGGTACTTCATTCCAGTTGAAGTTTTCAGTTGTTTCTCACAGTGTGGACATGTAAAAGGATTCTACAAAATCAGATTTAGAGCTCAAATAAGAGCTAGAAAATCATGAAAACAATGATAATCTTATAAGGATTGTTACAATACATGCACTTACCAGTTTGCAGGTTTCCAGGTGCTTCTTTAACCCATCCACTGTCTTTCTTCCAACACTTTTGCATTTGGGGCAGGTCACTCTACCCTTGGCCAAAATCTGCAGCTGCCATTTCTCCTCCTGACTTCCTATAAAGAAAGGCATCACGAAAACGTTTTTTTGAATATTCAAAAATATTCAATATCGGAGTTTGTATCATTTTCATGTAGCCTGAACAGCCACCCCTTTTACCTGGTGGATAAACAGGCGACTCTTTCTTGGTGCACTGAGATGATTTCTGCTCCTGCGTGCTCACAGTTATCGGATTCTTGTGAGTGAACTGAGCAACAGGAACTATAACAGGTACTGTTAGAGAGAAAAGATACAGTCTGCACTTTTCACCTATTATCATGTGGATTATTGAACATAAACTAAATAAATTTCATACCTGTTTGCTTTACTTCCTCAATGTACTTTTTTAAGGAGGGCTGGTGAGCTTCAATCTTCTGCTTCTTTGCTTTAAAATCTGTGGTATAAATACTACTTGTACTCTTGGACATCATCTAGACTGTCACATATACATTTATTCTACCTAAAGGTTTAGTTCCCTCAAAAATTTTAATTCTGTCATTAATTTCTCACTCTCATGTCGTTCCAAACCCGTAAGACTTTTTGATGAAATATGAGCGCTTTCTGTCCCTCCAATGACAGCAACTCAACTACCACAGACACTTCAAAAAGATAGAGATCATAAAACTAATCCATACTGCATGAATTGAGTGGTTTGGTCCACATTTTCTGAAGAGACTTGATCACTTTATATGATGAACCGATTTAATTTAGGTTTTTATTCACATATAAACATTCATGAATGCACCAAGCATCTCTGGCTCAGATTTCATTAAAAATATCTTCATTTGTGTTTCAAAGATCTGAGTCTTACAGGTTTGGAACGGCATGAGGGTGAGTTAATGATCATTTTTGAGTGAACTATCCCTTTAAATATCTGAAAGTCTGTACTAACCTGTTTCTATTAAAGTATCTGAACTGGATCCATCAATTTCCCCCATCATTCTGCTGGTGTGGTCAGTGTGCATATGTTGGCTTTCCAAACCATTGATCAGACTGGATGCGATTACAGAACTGGAAGATGAACCATGGCCTGAATCCTCTGAAGGTCTCATAATCACAGGCTGGAGATCATGATACCTTAGGACATGACATTTTGACACCATTACTAATGCATTATGTGGATTATGCATGAAATTTACAACAAAATGTCATGCATGAACACAAGAGAACACACAAAACTCACTTTTTTCTGGAGTAAGTTCTCTTTATTTTCTGAGAGCTTGTCCCCTCATTCTGAAATGAAATAACACAAATGCAATAATACAATTAGTTCTGATGGTCTCATGTTTCATTTGAATAATTACCTAATGTTATGACTGTTATAAATGCTATAATTATGATTGTTGATGACTTTTAATTAATAAAAAAAAGGTTCCCTTTATTTCAGTGGAATAAAATTTTGTGACTTTTCATACATTATCTATCTATACACACACACACACACACGCACACACACACACACACACAAAAACTGGCTTGATTCGGTTGTTCTGAAGGTTATGTAAAAAAAAAAAAATGTTTACACTTCTGGTCTTCAGGGGCAATATGACCCCACATTGAAATGAATGGGAAATGTGAAAAAAAAAAAACTAAATATATTTTCTTCATGTGTCAAAAAAAAAAAAAAAAAATCCAGCATAAATCTGAAATTTTTTACACAAAAAATGAAGGCCTAGTACTAGAGCATAAATGCAATGCATCATAAAAAAATAATATGCCATATGCAAGCTAATGGTCTAGTTGAGGAATTGTGTGGTATATGGATACAAAAGTACTTTATATCTCCAAAAACACAGCATTAATGAATAGATGAGAAGTAAACAAAAAAATTATATATTATTTGTATGATTAAAAATGTATACTTTTTTGTACAATTACTCAATCAATTGTTGGGGTCGTATAGACCCTGAAGCCCAGAAATGTAAACAGAAAACGAAGACCATTTAAAGGTTAAGGGAGAGATGCTCAAAAAATAATTTATTACAGGCCAAATCATACCAATAAAAAAAGAGAGAAAAAAACCTCAAACGCAATAATAAATGGAGCAATTCCAAAAGGGTAACGTATAATAACTGGGTCATATCACTAAATATTTAAACTGGCATATTGTTGCACAACTCAAGGTGAGGATGCTTGGTCTTACTTTGGATGGTTTCATTCCACTACCTTCAGCCTCTTTTCCCAAATCCTTTATGACATCTGTTGAAGGCACAATCAACTGTGTTGAATCGATTCAGTGTCGGGTAAGTTACTCTAAAAAAGTAATTAATTAATAGCTAAAAATTACATCTTTAACAGTGTAATTAGATTGCTGCACTCTTTACTCTCTCTAAAAAGTATTGCATTAATCTTTACTTTCTAAATCCCATATCGAACCCTAGTTGAACAATGCACTTTTAATTCTTTCGAATAAATATTAAAAAATTGTTAAAATTATTTTTGAACTGAAGGTTTCATTGAAAACATACATTTTAACATTAGACGTTAAATTTTGAGAATTGTTCTATATAGTATTTAATGCAATTACATCAGAAGTAACTCATTAAAATACAGAGATATTTAAACTAATCTCCCTTAGTTTACTTTTTCAAATGTAATAATTATTATCGATGAATTACACCCAACACTGAATCGATTTATAACAAATAAACTTTCTAAATGATGTAACTGTAATTTATTGTCTTTACAGATAAAAATGAATAGATCCCCAGCCCTATAATGTAAATTTATTTAGTTCCAGTAGCTCAAACCTCAGTGCATGGTGGTGCTGCTAGCAAAGCCAAGGTCATGGGTTCGATTCCCAGAGAACGCAAGAACTGATTCAGTTTTGTACTTTAAATGCAATGTAAGCCACTTTAGATAAAAGTTCCTGCCAAATTCATTTGTTTATTTATCTAATCAGAATAGACTTCACAATCACATAATTATGATCTGGGAATACCATCACTTCAGAATAAGGGTTTACAAAGTTTAGTGTTTAATCTCAGACTAATGAAGAATTACCTGGTTTTGGGGGGTTTAGTTTTGGTCTTGGCATTTTCCTCTTGCTGGGTACACATATGGCAGACATGTTACCCTGGGTCTAATCCATCCTATTACACACAAACCATGGATATATACAGAGATGCATGGGTAGGAATCAACAACAAATTTTCTATATTGCATTTTTACTTAATCATCATCAAAAACAAATAAGCAACAGTCATAGGTAAGCTCCTACGTGGAATTTCATTATTTCATTAATTCAATGTCCCCCAAACAGGCAAGCAGATACTGGTTGTACTAAGTATCTGCAAATAAAACACATTGTATGCATGGACTAACCCTGTATTTCCACAAAGAAGCTGAAAGCTCCCTATGCACCTTTATTGCAGAGCATAACTAGTATTCCAGATTCCACCATCACATTTACTGTCCACCAATATTTTCAGCCAAAAAAAGGATGCATGACGGCACTACGTCAAATAAGCCCTTACGTTACACGGATGCACCCGACCGTCAAATAATTCACATGACATCGAAATACAATAAACTTTCAATTTAAAGTGGCACATCCAACCCTCAATGTTCACAAAACAAACCAAGAGTAGCTAGCATACCGACAACGTCCTCACGGCGAGATCGCTTCATGCACAGCACGCCTCCTTTCTGACCAGCCAATGAGAACGCGCCTTTCTCACCCACACACCAAAAGGGGAGGATCTTACTTCAGAACAACCTATCTCTGAAACTACAGGTCCTAGATCAGATTTTGACACGCCTGTGTTGTTACACTTATCTACGGTTGCTACCCCTTCACTGAATCGGAGTCAGTTTGCATAATGAATTTATGCATAATAGTTTTATCAACATCAACTTTCTGTTTCAGTACAGCAGAAATGAGCAGCTCAAAGCCTTCTATGTTTTCGTGGCTCTCAAACACATTATTTTCGAAAGAAAAGGTAGGCTACAATAAACAAACATTTAAAAATCTGTCATGGACATACAAATAATCCAAAATATGTTCTTATTGCTCCAAAGGTGCTAGCAAGGAAGTGTTTATAAAAGGGTGCTTGTGTCAGTGTTAATAACTATAATCTTTATTGTCAGATGTGTAAGGAGGGCAGAGCTCTCCGAGAACAAATCAAAAGCATATCTGGGTCTACTGCCCTAGATGGTATGTCTCACCTGATAATAATGTTTCTAATGACATTTATTTGGTCACACCCCATGACAAATGTAAAAAGTGTGACATGCTACAATATTTCCACCTGTTTCTAGATGCAGATATTGATGATGCTCAAATTCTTACTTTGACAAGAGAGGATCTGAATGAGCTTTTTCCAGGTATCAGGAACTTTCAGCTCCGAAGGACCATTATGGAGCTTATCACAGATGCAGTGAAGGTAATGGTGGAATTGAACTTCAGTGGCCCCCCAAAAATACTCACACACTCCTAAAAGTGTAGAATTTTATGGTATTAGATAACACTAAATCAAGCTTAAAGACATATGCAAACAAATGATGCTAGGCCTTTCCTCAGAACTCACTTTTTTGAAATGCCTTTTAACCAACCAGTACCATAGCCTATTTTGGATGAATCGTTTGAAAATCGGTAGAAAATTGAGCAAGTTATGGTTATTTAAAAAGTACATGCACCATTAAAACAATGTTATGAGACCTCCATTGGCCAGCTGTGCGGACGAGACATCTAGCCTTTATTATGCATATCTATGTGGTCTGGTTACCAGCAAGTATCTGTGATTAAAATTAATAAACAGTGATTATTAATTGATTGATTTATTTCTGATTCCTAAAAGGATTCAGTTCGACCTGGCCCAGAAAGATTTGCCGGAGCACTGAAGCATTTAATGGACAAAAACAACAGCAGTGAGTAACTTATAACCTCCACTATTTTTTAAGTTGTAGCAGACCAAGGGACTTTTTTATGTTGTTGTAAAAGAGACGTTTCATAGCAGTCTTCTAACTTTCCCAGATGATGCTGCTGTTCAGGATGTTTTGAAGGAGTCTCTTCGAGCTTTTAGAGAAATGGAAGAGCAGCTCAAAGCAACACAGGCATCTCTGAAACCATACATTGAGGTCTTGAACAGTCTCACTGAGGCATCAGCTAGAAAACAGCACTGGGATACAGAAGGAACGTCAAGCAGGAGGAAAGTTCCAAGCTCATCCCAAACAGATTTAAACTCTCAAACCATAAAGATCCCCTATCGTCGTGAGTAACGGTCAACTTTTTATATTTCAATTAATAATTCAATATGCTATACATTACACTAATCAAAATACTAAAAGAACTTCTGGGTCCCAGTTTTTATTCCCACCCAATTATATTTCTTTCTATTTTGCAGAGCCTCCAGTCAAAGTGCATCCACTTATCTGTGGCCAAACCTTGGGAGTTGACAGGGAAATTTTTGCACTGCTCAATGGAGTTACTGTGAGTGAATTATGTGACTGTCAGTTGATGCTGGTCTTCTGTCCCATAGCATCACGAGCTGGAACTGACATCGAAGATGCATTGAGGAAAGTTCCAGGTAATTATTGTAGCCAATTTACCACAAGGTTAATGTCAATATATCCAGAAACATACTGTATGTTTACTGCATGTGTACTGTATAATGCAGTAGTCCTATAAAGCACTGTTTGAATCAATTTTCAGGGAACTAGTCTGTAATATCATAGGTTCAATCCTTCATGGACATTCCTGTGCAATTATAATGTTAATTCCTTATTTGTTTACCTTCACAGCTGATAAACCAGCAGTCCTGGTGATAATGTACCATACCTTCAACCATAACCAGGTGTGTCCCAGCATTAATACGACATCTTCTCAAGTGAACATTGTGGAACAAGTTAACATTCTCTTCCATGACTCACAAGGCGGTCTTCTGAAATGTCCAGCAAATGACCATGCAATTAACAAACTTCAGCGTGTCTTACACCAGTACATGTAAACTGTCATGTAAAAACTCTTAAAATGATGATACAATGCATGTCTGTTATATTGTCATACGAATGGGCAAAAACAACAAGTCTGCTAATAAACATTTAGGACTGATTTGTTGATTCCAAGGTTTTTTTATATATATATATTCAAACAATTTCAACACAATTTTAGTAAGAACACCAATAGCAGGAAGATTAGAAAAAAGCCTTTTCCACCAATGCCGTGATATCATGCAAAAATGCTTTCTTCGAGTTCTCACCTTCTTGTAGGCACATTTAAATTCATCTACATCTCACACATCAGAGAAGTGATACCTCACGCCATCATGATTAATAACCTGGCTTTTTAAAATGCATCGAGACGTTGCGTGTTTTTACAGGCTAAAACAAGCAAACTTGTATCCAACCT